TCCCATCCCATCCCATCCCATCCCATCCCATCCCATCCCATCCTATCCCATCCCACTCCATCCCATTCCACCCCACCTCCATGCCCAGTGGAAGCAGCCCTATGAACATCCCCAGGCTCCGTTGGTGCTCCCTTTGGGCTCAGGCGGATTTTGGTGCAGGGCAGAGGCACCCAGGAGGCTGCTGACACCCCTAACCTGGCTGCAATTATATGAGTTTTGAAAATTTTCCTCTAAAAAAAGTAGAAAATTGACTTTTTTTTTTTTTTTTTCCAATAGCATTCTTGGGCTGAAAAAAAATTGGAGCTTTGTCAGTGGGCTTTTTTGGGGGGGGGGTTGACAAGTTTCAGGGTGCAATGAGACCCAGGGCAGGCATGAGGGGATGAGGGAACACCTCCAGCACAGCCCCCCCCCTGCAGCCCAAACATCTCAACTGTGGGCTCCAGCTCCATCGGTCTCCCATGTTGCCATGGCAACTGCTGCATCCCAGCCTTGGCGAAGCTGGGAGACGTCGGCAGGGATGGGAGATGCTGCAGGATGGGATGGGAGATGTAATGGGAAGGGATGGGGGCTTTAATAAGCAGCCTACACCATCTGTAACACCTTGGGGGCTTACAGCCAGCCAGAACACCTCCAGAGCACGCTTCAGATGGATGTTCATTGTTTGCAGCCCTGGAGGTACCGCCATGGAAAGAGACTTTGGCACAAAAGCTCACAGGTGAGGTGGGAGGGCTGCACAGCCCCTCTGCTCAGCTTCCAAATGCACTCCGTAGTCCAGCACAGGTGCAAGCATTTGGGTCAGCCTCACGGCCCACAACTCACTGCCAAAGGCTGGGGCACGGGCAGCACTGCGTCCCACTGCTGGCAGGGGCTCCTCTGCGCCCACCTGGATCCCAGGGCTGAGTGCTGAGGGGGGAGAGCAGCTCTGAGGGAGAGCAGAGCCCGTGCTGGAGGAGGCAGCTCCTGCTGGAGGGTGGGACGGATGTCAGACAGGTCAATGGATGGATGGATGGACGGACAGGTGGATGGACAGGCAGACAGATGGACAGATGGATAGGTGGAGCTCCAGTCAGGGAGAAGGGAATGGAGCAGGGATGGATGCAGAGCAGTCACAGCAGCCCCGAACACCTCCAGGGACAGGTGCACACATACACACACATCTCAGCTCTCTCTCCTGGGGCTGCACCTCCTCGCACAGAGCTTCTTCCTGCTGCCCATCAGCACTCCCCTCACGGAAGCATCCATCACCTCCAGCCTTGCACCTGCCCGGCCGCCCAGCTCCCAGCGCTGGCTAACAGTGAGCTGTGTTCCCCGCATTCCCTCCTTCCAGCTCCTCCGGGCTGGAGAGGTGCAGCTCCCACAGCCCTGTGGGACTGGCCCGGCTGTGCCACAACCCGGGGGCTCCTGAGGAGCCTTTCCCAGGAGCACAGAGCGGGGTGCAGCAGTGCCACACCAGGCACGAGGCAGGGATGGGAGAGATGAGGCCAGGTTGGGTCCGTGGGCTGCGCCTCATATCCAGACAGGCTTCAAAACAGCGAGGTGTTGGCTGATGGGCTGTGCAGGACGAGCACCGCTGTGCGGCCAGGATGGAGGAAGGATGGAGGGCCTGCGCTTCCTGCTGCCCACCCAGCGAAGTCTGCCAGCTACAGCAGCTCAGCCCGGAGCAGCAGCACATGGAGCAGCACAGGACGCAGCCCCCGGCCCCATCCGTGTGCCCAGCAGGGCGCTGGGCTGCGCTCAGGCTCAGGGAGCAGCGGTGCCATCGGCTCGTGGCCCTGCCAGCCCTGGGCTCGGTGCGCCCCAGTTCCAGCAGCTGAAGGAGCTCAGAGCCGATATCTCTACCAGAGCCTCAACTGCTTTAATTACCCACATCTGAGTCATCCCCAGCTCTGCTTTATCAAAGCTCGCAGCCCTGCAGACAAATCGCCCTTTGTGCTCCTCCAGTCCCTGTCCACGGGGAATTGCCAAGTGCCAATTAACCAGCAGCTCCTGCTGCAGCGATGCCGCGGGGAGATGAGATGAAGAGGGGCTGCTGCCCGCCCCGTGGCCTCAGCCTGGGTCGGTGGGGGAGGCGGCAGCTCCAGGATGCTGCAGGTCTGTGCTGTGCCACGTCCCCGTGGAGTCCTGCATCCTCCAGTGCCCCTGGATGGATGGATGTAGCCGGCAGGTGAAGGCAATGCCGTGGCCAGCGTGTGCCTCCAGGGGCAGCGTGTGCTCCTTCACCTCTGCTGGCAGTGCAACGTGAATTGGGCAGCAAGGATGACCTAAAACTGTGCAGATGCTGCTGCAAGCAGCAGAGCGACGGCACAGCTGTGCTGCAGGGTCAGAGCTGGGCAGGGAGCTCTGCTCTGCTCCCTCGGAGCTCTGGGAGGGGCTGGGATACAGCTCTGGTGCTGCACAGGGCTGGGGTAGGAACTGCTTTCTGGGGGGTGAATAATGTAAATATTACAAAAAAACCAACATCATTCCGGCCCAAATCCAATCCCCACATTCAGTGTTTCAATGCCAGGTGGCACCTGCTTGCAGAGCTGCTTCATTCAGCTGAGTTACGGTGGAGAGGGGACGTGAAAGTGGAACATCTGAACGCTGCACTCCGGTTGCTCATTAATTTTGAGTTCTTCCTTGTTGTTTGCACTCATGATGGCACTGGGCATCACCTAAAGCCACAAACCAGGCCTGGTGCACGGGGACATCAGCTTTGCGGGAATAGATAGGATGGAAGGAGACAAGGTGAGAGCTCTGCTTCCCCACAGCCGGCGCAGGGTGGGGAGGGGACACGGCCCTGCAGGGCCCGAAGGAGTTAACAGCGAGTGCCACCTCCTGTATGTTATCTCCTCCATTGAGGCAGCTCCATGCTGGCAGCGGAACAATGCCAAATTCTGATGAGCTCTGGTTTTCCAGCTAGAGGGGAGGCACGGGAGGGTGGGGAATTAATGCTATTCTGCATAATTTTTAATCTAAATTCCATTTCTTTTCTTTTCTTTCTCTAGGAAGCAAACAATCTAGGGGGTTTTGTACTCAATTCCTTGCTTTCATAAGCTAAATGGATTGTTTGCAAGTAGGAGCCAGCTGCAAAGCTGGCAATCTCCAATCGGATCTGCCTTTCTCCTCATTCCAGCCATCCTTAATTCACTCCTCAGCTCCGAGGAGCAGATCCTGGTGGCCCTGGGGCGGTTTGCAGGAAGGACGGCTGAGCTGCAGCTGTTTGTGGCACTGGGCAGCAGGATGGGGCCCTGCAGCTCTCCAGAGAGCAGAGGGGTGCTCAGGAACGGCTGCTGAGCCCATGATGGGATGCCAGCATTTTGGAAATACTGGAGGATGATGTTTTCCCTGCTCTGTGCATCCTGCCGAGCCTCATTAGCCGGGCGTTACAATAAGGACTGAGGATGCTCCCAAAGCACCCAGTGCTGCCCCGTTTCTGTTGTGGTGTCCGAGGCGTGAGGCAGTTTCACGACTGGGAAACTGAGGCACGGCTCCCACTGTGTTTGCAGATGGGGTTCACCTCAGCATCCTTTTCTTTCTCATTTGTTTCAAAGCTGTGTGTGGCTCGCAGGCACGACAGAAGCGCGCTGGAGTGCAGCAAGATGACCTACTTACTGAGCTGCAGGAGCTGCACAGGCCTTGGGTCACAGCAGCTCCTGGGACCCCAAGGGATGGGGACAGCTGGCACACAGAGCCCACAGCTTCTCTCCAGGGGATGCACGGCCCCAGCAGGCAGCCTGGGCAGCTGGGTGGGCACACAGCTGGCAGCAGGGCCAGGGAGCAGGACACGTGAATGCTGGGCTGCCCAGCTTCCAGCCTCCCTCAACTCTCAGCTCCCAGGGGAGCCCATCTCCCTCCTTTTATCTGCATGCCATTTACTGGGGTTCTGTCTTCAGTTCAAAGGCCACAGTAGCATCAGAACATGGAGTCTCGATGTGCTCGAGAGTGAGACAGCAGAGAACCTCTGCCCCCGTGTTTACCTCCTGATTTTTAACCCAGTCCGATGAATCCTCCATGATCACAAGCAGATCATGAATGCACTCCATTAGAAATTATGCTGCAGTTCAGGAGGATTTGTTCCTGGGCGCTGATCCTTCACCACGCTCATTCATCTAACAGGATGCTTCAGAATTTATTATAATGACAAACAGGAGCTGGTGCTCCTGGAGGCTGGAAGCAGCTTTGTGCCCACCTGCACAGACACCCCCTGCAATATCACTGGCCCACAGGCTACCTGGGGGCTGTGACCAGCAGCTAGCAGCTCTGGGATTCAATGCGGAAGGTGCTGTCAGATGTCAGGGAGTCAAAAAGACAACAGAGCAGCTCTTCAGCCTGAGGAGACAAGAAGGAAAAGGAGAGCTGTGAATTTTGTGCATTGCAAAGAAACTCCCTGCAGACCCCTTCCCACCCAAGCTGTCCTATGGTTCTGTGATTCCCCCACGGGGTGTTACCTCCTCTCTTCTGCCCCTCTATTGGTGGTAGGTCCCACCCCACGGCCCCATCCCCAGCTGCACGCAGGGAGAAGCTCTCCAGGTACAGCTGTAACAGTCTCCATCTGGAAATCTGAATTCTCATCCTATTTCCTATTCCCAGATCACACTGGGAGTCGGTATGAAGTTCCTTTTCTCTCCCATGGCGTGGCTCCACCAGTGAACACCACTCAGACCGTGAGGATTTCCAATCTGTGCTCACTTAACCCTCTGAACTTTGCCTGATATCATGGTGTTGCTCATTAGCTGTAACCTGGAAAGCCTGGCTGACATTTCATAAACTCGTTAGCAAGAGATCAGAGGATCAAACACAGTTTCTAGGGACATCTTTTGAGCTGCAGCCATTCCCAGGTGCACAGACCCGGCTCTGTGATTTCCAAACCCACTGTGGACCTGGGAGCAAAAGGGTCCTTTGAAGAGAGCCAGGGCTCACTGCTGTGCTTCCTGCAGCCCCAGGGAGAAGCCCTGCAGCCTGCACTGCCCCAGGAATGGCTCAGTCTGAGCTCTGCCCCGCTGCCAGCTGGGCTGCTCCTCCAGAGCCACACAACCCAACTGACATTTTCTTTTAAAATCCGACCCCTCTGGATAAGCTTCATTCACCACAGGGACACAAAAGGTCCATCTATTCCATAACCATCTCTACTTGCCTGTTTCTCATTTTGAGGATAGAGGAGATGCTGCGCCATGTCCAGCACCGACTGCTTCTGCCAACGCACACTGGGGGTAAAGACAAAGGGAAGGCAGAGTTATTTTGCCATCTAAGCTGTTGAAACTGCTGATGACCCAGCTTTAGGCAGGGCTACGCTCAGTGCCAGCAGCTCTGGCCGCGTGCATCTGTTACTGAACTTCTTTACACAGCTAAATCCTGGGTTTTACAAAGCTTTGTATAAATGGATTTGGATTCTTAAAATATAAGCCTCCAAACAAACAGTAATGACCCGTTGCATAATGGGGTCTGTGGGGCAGTGGGAATACGCACACATCCAGATATGCCAGGTCTGTGCAAGGGCCTTTTGCTCACCAAAGACCACCAATGTGTTTTCCCAGGCACTGAAGGCTTCCCGCGCTGCCCCTCACAGCAGGGCGGACTGCACTGCTCACCTCGTGCTTTGGTCCCCTTTAAATCACACAAATTGACCACAAGACATATTAGAGACATCTCAAGGCAAGACACAAAGCTCAAAATTGCTTTCCTAGCCAACCCCATGCACGGGCAGAGCCTTCAGCCCCTGGAAGTGCTTCCAGCTCCCTGCCCCCACACCCAGCTCCTGCACTCAGCAACAGTTTTCCCTCCAGTGGTTTCCATCAGCCCCAGGATTTCACATCCTGCACGTTCCTCTTTTGATTTCTAAACCTCCTTTCCCTCCAAAGCCTCCCAGAGATGAGCCTCCTATAGGGATAACATCGCTCCCTGCTAACAGCAATTAACACTTGGTAAGAACGTTTCAGCAGACAGCACAACATCCAGCTAAGTTCCTTTGCACTTGGAGCTGGCTCTGATTGCCTGCACTCCGATTTTCTTCCCCTGCAGCCAGGGTTTGGGTGTGCTTCAGGCCAGCATTGCTGATGGAGCTCAGCACAACTCAAGCCAGCTGAATTCCTGGGGACCCTACACAACACAGGTGGGTCCCAGCAATCTTAGCAGCACCTGGAAGTGCTTTATGAGAGCTCAGACAACCACAAAGGAGTAATTTCTGCTGTGGTCACTATAAAACAGCATCTCTTATTAAGGCGACTACATGTGGTTTGCCACGCACACCAAGCAGAGCTTTTCTCCAAGTTGTTGCTTTGAGCCTGCTTGTAAATCCTTCCCTCTGCCACCCTGCAGCTAGGAAATCTGGCTTTAAAAACAAGTTATGACAGGGGAAATTCAAATGCTTTCTAATGGAGACCTAGGCATCTGAGTGCTGGCAGAACTAGAAAGGCAACTCTCGCATCTGTTTTCCTTGTCTGTAGGTAGGATTGTGTCACTTCCTCCCCCAGGATCTGCCCTGGTCCCACTGTTCCAAGGCTGTGGTTCCCTTCCCCTCACCTCTTCCGAACACCTGACTCCACTGCCCTGCAAATTGCCCTTGGCATCCTCCTACATCTCACTCTGGCTTCGCTCTTCGCAGTCAACCAAGCTCACAGACTGCTTTTGTGCCCCCACCTGTGTAAGTTGTCCCCTCCTGTGTTCTTCCTGCACTTTGGTGCAGAAAGAATCCCTTCAAGACACCCAGAGAATGGGCAGAGTGCACAGGGTGGGTGCTGCTGCTGCTGAACACCACCACACAGTATGAGAGCCTGCAGCTGCCCTTAAGGAACTGCTCCTCACGGCGCATCCTCCGAGTGTTCTCTTCACATGCCACAGACAGAGCTGGCACAGCAAAGCTCCAGCAGGCTCAGAACAAGCAGCTGCACTAGCCAAGCCTGCTTTGTTCATTCAGCACCTGATTCCTTCTCATCACAGCCCTGCTCTGCCATCACATCCCCACGGATGGCCGTGTCTCTCCCCATGGCACAGTGCCTAAGTGACGTGGCTCAGCTACAAACTGGATCCCAGGGCAGGAAAATAACCTCCCTCACTGCAGTGCTTCAGCAGTGCAGCAGAGCCAGGGCAGGTACTGGGATCCTGGGCCACAGCAGTGATACAGATACATGGTGATGTATTCAGTGCAGGAGAGGTCACGTGGCTCCTGCTGATGGAGGCATAAGTGCAATTAACCTCAGATGTTACTCTGAAATGTTTATAAACTAGGCAGTGAAGATGCCTTAGCATGAAGTGTCCTTGTGAGACACCGCTTCAGTCAGGTTGGCTCGCAGAGACGTCTGTAAAGCTGACTTTAAGCCATCTGATGGCTAATGGTGGAGCAGGGCACTGCTGGCTGGAGCTGATCTAGCCAAGGATCTGTGCCTCTCCACCTCCCAGCCCTGCGCAACACCCCGCTGCCCCTCCCTTCCACCAGCACCATCCAGAACAAAGAGTATTTTTGTAGAACTGGTTTCAAATGGTTGCACGAGTTCTGGCAGCAGGGCTGATGGCAGAGCAGCTCCTGCCCCGTGGGAGTGCCTCCAGGATGCACGCACACAACAGCAGGCCAAGGTAAACCTACAGCAGGCAGAGGTGCTGTGCTGCAGGTCGCACCCAGACTCCGACAGCAAAACAAAGAGGTGGGGGATGCTGTGCTGCCTCCTGGCCCCACTGACAGCCCTCTCCTAGAACCTCCTCAGCAGTGATCTCTGGGGCTCCTGACGGCTCTCTTCGTTCCTAAATACCACCCCCTGTGCATGGAAACTTTCCCTCTGGGAGGCAGTGGGTTAATTGGCCTGATAATCAGCCTGCTTCACTAATCAGTCCCTGTAGAGGGGTTCTGTTTGTTTTATCAGGCTCATAAATCCAGCGTTTCTGGTGATTTATTCACGAGGCTGATTTCTGATTTTGCTCTCTGGCGTTTATTTTAAACAATTTTTTTTTCTTCACAGCAAACAGAATCTGCTAAGATATTTCTCCTAGGAATTGTATCGACTCAGCAGGTCTATTCCCAACGTGAGCCCTTATCTCAGAGAATTCCCTGCATTTTGGAACCATGCTGCCAAGCCTTACAGACACTCTGAGCCCTTAACAAAGCATACAACTCACTAGCTAGCATCCTGAGTGTGACTTCAGCCTAAGGAACACTGTGATGTGTCAGTACGTTGAAAACAACATGGCTTAAAACAATCATAGAATCATTAAGGCTGGAAAGATAACTAGGACCACTTAGTCCAACCATCCCTCGTGCTTGTGACGTGCCTTCCTTCAGAGGAACACGTTGCCTTTGAGTGGCACCAAACACTGTGGGAGTCCAAACCACAAGTGAATTACAGAGCAGTCAGCTGTCCTGGTTTGGATCACACGCCCTCTGGTAGAGAAATGAGGCAGTGGTGAAAAAGTGCTGTTAAAGTGTTATTGTACCTCACTTACCTGTCCAGCAGGGAGTCGAAGCCAATGACTGCGCTGTCTCGCTCTGCTGCTACCACCAGGCACAAACCATCCATTAAGAGGGAGCACTGAGAGAGAGAAGAGCACAGCCTTGGTTTGCTTTCTGCTTAGATAAGGCTGTAAGCCTCACTGATGAGCTGCTGACAGCAGAGATAACTGCTGTGTGAGGGGAGGAAGGAGAGCAGCAGAGGCTCACGCTGAAGGAGTATCACGTCTGAACTGGCGGTTCACCCCTTCCTATGGCATGCTGTTACTCCTGCTCTCTCCTCTCAGAGTGAAAATAAGCTGGGTCTTGGGTGTGATACTCAGTCACTAATTCTGCTGGAAGCAGGAACGTGGACATAACTGCACATGCCTGAGACACGGCAGCAGAAACACTCCTCACTTGGAGGAGCCCATCGCCCTGCTGGCAAGGGAAAGCAGATGCTGTAAACGTTTGCCTTTGGCTCAGCAGTGCCAGTCCCTGGTGGATGCATGCCAGCTCTGCCCACAGCCATTCATCTCTGACAGGAGGACGTGTTTGCATGGCCAGCAGGGGAGCAGGGCCGTGCTGCCCTGTCCTTCCCACGCACCCCTGGGCTTTGTCCTTCCTGGAGAGATGTGCGCAGGGACGGCATCCTCGGGGGAGCTGCAGGGGGAGAAAGCAGTGCTCAGACTAATTGGATGCTGGATGTAATTGCTATTCTGTACAGATGTACTTCAAAGGGATGCTGTCAGTTTCAAAAATCACAACCTGAAAAGATCTTACCTGCTTTATTATAGGTTGCACCTAAGACACTCATAAGTACCGATGGGCTGGAAACTGAAATGATTTTATTTCTTCACTGGAACCGCTGCATGCTTCTGACAGCCCTTTGTTGATTGCTACTGCCAGTATAAGTAGCTCCCCCCTGTTGATTACTGTCTGCTCCTGACAATGTTTTCTTGCACATTCCCCCTTACTGCTTTGCTCTAGCAAGGTTCCTGGAATGATGGGTTTATCTTATACCAAGCATAAAGAGAAAAACAGCTCTGGGGCGATGCTGCACTGCTGTAAAGCAAAGTACTGGCTCGCCCCAGAAGCAAACCTTGTGCTTACACCCTGTGAGCACTTGCTTAAACCCCATGCTGGACTGCAGTGCAAGTTGTCATCACCAGCGGAACGAGAGATGAAATGAAATCTCTGCCCAGAACTCCAGGGCACCGTCCAAAAAGCAGAAGGGTTATTTAGCATCGTAGAGGAGGATTAATGGAGTGTGATTACAGAAAAGGAAATAGAAACTGTATTTATCGGGAAGAACAAGACAAGATACAACAGCAGAACATACATAACAGCAGCAACTGTGCACTGTGAGGTGAATGGAAGAAAATGTCTGAAGGGGATGTAGCATTCACAGTAAGGTTATGTTTGCACATCACGATGTCAAGTTCAGGTGTCTGTGAGTTAATGGAGATACAGGAACACAAAGTAGGGAGAAGCTGGCAAGGCACACTGCCCAAATTACTTACTAGTGCATAAGAGATCAGATTGCAGTGCTGTGCTGAAGCTGGTTTACTCAGAGCTAGAACAGCACTGCATCAAATGGCTCTTCTTCCACGGGGAAAGAAGCAAAGCGTAAATCCAGACTCCATACCTTTGCTGCCACCCCGTACTTGGCTCTGCTCAGTATCTCTGAGATGCAGTGAGCCTGTGGTGCATCCAGCACAGTGAGGCGCACTCCAGTCACCGTGAAACCTTTGCCAGTGAGCTGATGGAGCAGTTCAACATAAGGGGGGTCTGAGCCCCGGAGGATTATCGCTGGCAGGATGAGGCAGGTGGTTTGGCAGAGGTTACCGAGCGGCCGATCTGATGGGAAAAGATGAAAACACAGCAGATGCTTTACGTCAACCCCCTTGCACTGCTAACCCTCCCCGCCACAAACGTGTAAGCAGGAGACCAGAGGCATTATTATGTCATTTGGGATGTTTGCAGGTGTGGCTGCTCATCCCAAACAGCTGTGTGCCTGTGTGTATCTGGAGATCACCAGGCAGCAGGAGTGACCCCATTCCAGGAGTCAGGCAAGGACAGCTGTTGGTTTGCTATGGGAGGTGTTATTCCACTTACTTTCTCCCAAGCAAAGAAATCTGTTAATCCAGCTGCTTTCATAATCCAAAATGTAATTCTCAGCAACATACATAAGATTTAATGCACTTCATATTTTCCCCACGATAAATCTGTCTGTCCGTTAGGCTTTGTGATCATTATTTGCCAAAAGGAGACGTTTCCTCGTGTGCAAGAGCTACCTCTAGCGTCCAAGAGGAGGCCACGAAGTGAATGATGTGTCTGGCTTGCTGGCAGCACTCACTGTATTGTGCCTGACAGCCCAGGCATCACGTGTGCTTGCTTTTCCAGGACAGTAGCTCTTTGAAAAACATTTTCTGAGACACAAACACATCAGGGCTGTACACCGGTTTCCTTTTCACTCTGCTCAGAAATCTTCAAAGCAAAGAGATTCTCACAAAGCAGGAAATTGAGGGCACATACTTTGAGATTTGCTTCCCAGATTGAGCCATACAGAACCTGCAGAATACTCACGCTATTTCCACAAGCAGCTCTGCAGTGTTATTATTACTCTTGTTTCAGGGTTCATACAGTGGCTTAGGAATGGCAGAAATGTTGCAAGATAGATCTCAGCCCAGCCAACAGTTTAGTCTTAAACCTTCACACAGCCAACCTCTGATGTATCAGTGTGGAGCACAAGAAAAGGAGGAGATATGGCCTTACTCAGGTGAGGATCATTTGCCAGGATCATGAAGTATGTGCAGGGCACAGCCCAGAGCCAACAGAAGGCAATGGAAAGAACCTACTGATAATTCCTCCTTCAGAGGATCCAATTCCAGACACTTTTGCTCCCTGTAAATACCACAGGGATACTTTGCCTGGTCACCACTTTGGTATAAAGGCTTGGGATCAGCCCACAGGATCCCAATGCGGAAGCATCTATATAAGAGTTACATCTCCTGGCATAAAAAGCAGAGCATCACAACCTGCATCGTATTCACACCTATCAAGTACAGTCAGCAGAAAAGAACCAGAGAAACTACCAACATCTGAGGGAGCTGACAGGCCTGCTGCTGAAGTTCTGACTCGAAAACAAACTCAGAGCAGCAGTAATTGGAAGTTCTTTTTAGCTGGCAGACATCCAGCAGCTAGTGGGAACCCAACGAGATCTCAGACCCGTTCCCAAAAGATGGATGCCCACGCTGCCAAAAGCACTCCCTGCACAAACTGCTGCTTATTTACACCCAGAACAAAAGGTCTCCCTGTTGCTCATCACTGCGGTGCCTTGGTCACTCCTGAGCTTTGAATGGACATGCAAACCACTGTGGCGAAACACACAGTAATAGTTCAGCTGTTGCTTATGTTATCTGTGCTGACAGTGCTTTTTCCTCTGCTGGTGACAAGATCAGCACTTCTCATCAGCCCTATGTTTAAACCCATAAAAGCAGTGGTGACAGAAAGGCCCAGCAGGCAAAGAGTTAACTGGCTGAACTCCACCAGAGCTGTTCGTTGTAGCTCAGAGTTGTCGCTCCCTTCTGAAAGGACGTCAATACCAAATCTTGCTGCCACCAGATGGTTTGTCTTGCCATCCAATTAATAACAACAGCCTCAATCTACAACAAGAGTTATGCATTTCCTTACCAAGATCGCGTGGTTGCCCAGAGCCCAGCAAACTGAGCTTCCCTCCTGTGCCACCTTTTATGATTTTGCGCTGCTTGCTGATTTCCACACTGACTATGGGGTCACATTTCAGGTTATAGATCTGCAGGAAGCAAGGGGAGGGGAGGGAGAGAGAGAGAGGCAAGTCATGTGAGCACTGTTACCTAATCAGGAAAGACAGCACTTCTCAAGTATTGATTCAGGCAAGCTGTGAAGGTTTTGTTGGTGTTGTGTGCTCCTGTTGTCTGGAGATAAAAGAACATTTTGCACGCATTCTTTCTTATTGGGACTTAACTAAGTGTGGTATCTTGCATCCAGACATCTTTCTAAGGTCTCCATTCCCAGCTCTTCAAGGCCAGAGACCCAAGGACTCCAAGTCTTTACCCAGTGCCTAAGTAGTGTGTAGCAGCTCCCTTCTGTCATGGAACAAATTGTCACAGCCATGCGTCCCAGGACAGTGCAGTCCTGATAATTCTAGACTGAGTCACAGAGGAAGGATGCCCACATCGTGGAGCTCTTCAAAGGGGGGCCTGCTACTTGATCCCATCCCTTTGTGGGCAAACCTCAGCACTTCAGACTCTCTGATTTTGAGAAGAAGCCGAGCAGAGTGGTCAACTAGTGATTAGCTAGTACAAAACTAGCTGAAGAGGAAAGACTTACCATTTCATTTTAGCCACTGGCAAATTAGGGTACTTCAAAGCAGAGACCAGCATCTACACTGCGTGAAGGGCCAGAAGAGCAGAGCTGGCTGTACAAGTGCTGGTAGGCTTCTCGGCACTGCCAACAATACAGGAGGCAAGAATCTGGGGCTTTATGCCTTCAACAGGCAGGGGAAGATGTGGGCATCCAGCAGCAAACTGTGCCTGTGATTTACAGCAAGGAGAGTCCAATTGGAGACAGCTCTGTCTTTACAGTGCTGTGAGTTGGTACCTCTGTTGGCAGGTTATGTGGGCCAGTACCCTTCTCACACCATGGGGCAGTGCTGCACGCCAGGAGCATGTGCACACATGGGATACGTTCAGCAGCCAGCGAGTTCTTTTATTAGCTGTCTCACTTCATCTCAGTTGCTGAACGCTACGTGTGAAAAGCTGGTAACAATCAGCCTGTGGGTCAGCTATGCCTAAACTATCATGGGTGGTGTTGGTGTTGTTCCCCATGACCTGCTTCCAAAGCGATGCTGGCTCAGTGTAGGAACTTGGCTTCTAAAGCAACAGCCCGGAGCCTTCCTGAATTTATAGCACAGGTCACTGAACAAATGCATCTGAAAAAGCACTTTTCCTCTGAGACTGTCTGGGTCAATACAAAGTTAGCACATCGTGGCAGGGACATCCAGAGGAGAAGGAAATCTCAGCAGCCGGTGAAACACAGCAAGAAAGCATTATCTAAAGTGTAAGAGGAAGGAAATCAAGGGCTGGCAGGACCAAAGCCACGGCTCTGACACAGCAGGAGACCCTTCAGAAAAGGGCAGAATCCTACCTCTTCCTCCTGCAGTGTCTGACACTCGGCGCAGCACAGACCTTCTGGGAAAAACAGCTTCATATCCCGCACAGATATTTGGTAGGATTTGGAGCCTGAGAGACAAATACAATGAGAAGATTCTTTCAGGGCATGAATTAAACATTCTCTGGACTCGCACTCATCCTCCTGAAAGATTGATGGCGTGCAACTTACTGAAGTGATTGCTTTAAAGGCCAGCTGTTCTGTGTAGTAATAGCAAACATTTAAAACCATTATATTTAGAATAATTCCATTGCATTCCATTGCATTCCATTTTTGGTATTTCGATTCTGCTCCATTATCACTCACCTTGTCCTCCACGTAAATAAGGCTCCCTCTATTTCCTAACAGTGTAGTGAAGGGAATCACATTAAGGAGTCAGTAAACACCACCTCTAACCCCCTGTTCTCCCCATGCTCTTGGATCATGTCAGGCTAGTCGTGTGGAACGGAGCTACAGGTTACTAAAACCAGCTGTACTTCATAAGAATAATGTAAGCCCCTACCATGTTGGTAACTCCTGTACAACAGAGCAAAAGAAAGATGAGTATGAGACACTACTGACAGCAGTGCATTGCACCGTTCATCTGTAGTCCTGAAAAGCAGACTGAGACTGGAAGAGGTACGAAGAATGAATGTGAAGGTCAGAGAAGGAGCGGGGAATCATCTGCAGAGTCTGAACTAAAGCCCTCTGCCTGATTAACCCAACGTAACACAAAGCTAAGAAGGAATACAGCGAGGTGAAGAGGTCAGAGAAGGGAAAACTACTTACAGTACATGCACTGGCACAAGAGCAAACAGATACAATCTGTGCATGACTGCATTTAGAATCGAAAACGTATGAAAATTTCCAGCTGAGAAGTTCTTTAACAGCAACCCAAATTCGGGTGAATGCTTATGAGAGGAAATAGATTACAGAACTCAGTGACTTACAGGTCCCTCCTGCTCAGCAGCTGAGTATTTCTCCATAAAGTTACAGTGTTAGAAACCACTGCTCAGAAGGTTTTGAGGTTTGTGAGTGGAAAACGTTTGAGAAGGAAAAGCTATTTCTAAATAACCAGAGTTCAGACAGACTGTCAGCGTGCTGGCATGGATCCACACTCCTGGGATACAAATACACAAAAGGCAAATCTATTCTGAAATATTATCACTTCTGCAAACTATGCATTTAAAAAAAAAATGGTGCCTTACAACTCCTAGAGCACTCAGCCCTGCGTGGGCAGCCATAATTCTAAGATCACATAGCCAGAGTGCTTAACAGTAGTTTACAGCCCTGAGATTGTATATGTCACTGGTGTATAAGTCATGCTGTGTGCTTTATGTACCTCTGTGTCAAACCTTCCCTGTTTAAATCACTGGTGCCATTACAAAGGGGACACAAATGTTCCCAGTGCTACTCTTAGCAACGTTTTACTCTTACTTTTCTCAAGGTGTAATGCTGTATAAGAAGCTCTTTGGCTCGAGAAGAAGCACTGCACAGTGATTTCATAACACACCGGAGAGATGAAGGAATGCAGGGTTATCTCTACAGCTGAGCCTCAGAATATTAGAACAGCTTTACTTGGTTTGACTGTTATCACCAAACCTGGCCTTCATCCTACCAGAACTTCTCTAGTCCCTTCCAGAGGAAACACAGCTGGAGTTTGCTGCACTTCAGCACAATGGCACAGGCTAGAGACCTTCCTCAGCTGGAGCAAAACCAAAGAAACACGGCACTCCCTGCGAGGAAAGAAGCTTCCACTGTCCCCCAGATGACCACTTGTGCACTGATGACGTTTCCTGCTTAACTTGGACACAAATATTTCTTCCTCTTTGGAGGACAAACTCTAGGAGATGCGAGGCATTAAGGGTCCTTAAGGACAGGCTCCTCCTTGGCGTAGCAGCTGGATCAGATTCATGGGTTTGAGTTGCTGTGTGCATAAGCTACAGCTGCAACCGTTTTCCTTGAATGTGTGCAATTAAGGCTTTGTGAGCCACGCGCAGAGCTGGGATGCTAATGCACAGTCTGGTCTCTGCAGGCAGGTGGGAGCCAACCAGCTCAGTTCTGTGCCTGGCCCAGTCGTGGAAGGAAGCAGGGATCTGAAGGGAATCTCTCAGAAAACATCTTCCTTAACACACAGCTCTCTGTAACCTCCGAGTGAGAGACAGGCTGAGAGTCAGCTTCCCTTGCTGATGTAAACTAATCTGTAGAAGAATTATGCTAGGGAAGCTCCAGGTGTTGCGTGGGTATATTAAGTTGGGGTATATATTACCCATAACTGATGAGTTCTCATTCTCAAGGCAACCCAGGAAGACAATCCATTAATCTTAAGAGCAAAAGAAGCAGGGGTATAGTGGAAAAGTACTGGCTGAGAAGCCTTGAGCATCTCTTATGTAGGTAGACCTGCCCTTCTGTCACTCCCACAAATGAGAACCTATGAGTAATTGTGGTGGGAGATCTCTCTCGGTTTAGTCTTGGTCCTAAGGATTATGACTGTATCTGACAAAAAGTAGCTCTACATCAAGGAGTTGATTCTCTTCCCACAACTACATGTGGTGGGCTCTTGATTGCGAGTTCTCCTCGGAAAACCACAATATGGACAAAAAGAGGGAGTACAATACAGAGTGTAATAGAGAGCACCAATTAATCCAATGGATCTTGACAGGAAAGTTCTTTTGGAAACCAAAAGCATCCAGTCTCTGCTAGCTCAACTGTTTTTATGGAAATTATTGATTGCGTTATTTTTATACTCCTTTAACTACATCCAGCACAATATTGAGAAAAACAAACTACTAACGAGCTGTCAATTAATAACACTTAATGCCTTATGAATTTTTGAATGACATCCTTCCTCCTCCTTATCCAAACAGCCCAGACCCCCCATTATGATATCCTTGGTTCTCTTCAGCAGTCCTTCTCATTCTGCCATCCTTCACCTGTACTCTCAGCTGTTTCCCGTTCCAATCATGGCAGCATCCTCGTTCCTCCTGCTGCTGGTGGAGGAACTGTGGCTGGTTCAGCATTAAGGATGCTGACTAGCTGACGTGCCAGCTGGCAAGAGCCTCTCAGAATGGAAAACAGCTGAGTTTACCTGCTCTCCTCAGTGGGAGTAATTTTTGATCGCCTCCCTCTAGCCAGCCATTAATGTTTTGAGACATTACAGGAACTTGGTATCCTGGAGTCTTTTACCCCTCTGTGAGAGACGGCTAGCGAGTTATATAGTTACCAGGAAGAGGGTCAGAAGCATGGAGACAAATGGGTTCTTGGGGATAAGTACAAAATAACCAAGCTAAAATCACAAAATGACCGAGCGGAGAAGAGATTAAAAGAAATCTGTTCTGATGGAAGACAGATCTGGGGCTGTTCTGAGAAGATAACTTTTTGATATATCTTCTGGGACAATATTTCATAGCACGAGATGTACTCAGGTCAGCCACCAAAAACACAATCAAAACTTTCTAGGGAATAATGGTCACTACTGCCTGCCAAGGCTGGATCTGTGCTGACAGTGCAGGAGGGTAACAGTACATTACGTTTTTACCATTAGCTTATCTGAGCCTTCAGACTTTTCTTAAACAAAAACCTACCATAAAATCCATTTTGGACAGTGCTGAGGCCATACTGAGCCCTCCAGAAGCATGGATTTAGGGCTTGGGCTACTTGAGGGTCCTCTGGCCCCAGAATGTCGATCAATTTCTTCACAGCATTTGGTCTCTGAAGACACAGCACAAGAGAAGTGCCTGAGGTAAGGTAGGTACAGTGAGCTTCTAGAACAGCAGGATCCTGGAAAGAAATAGCAGAGAGGGAACAGATTACAATATATGCAGTAGATGAGTGCTGGATCCCCACCCTCTGGCTCAAACCACCTCTGAAGCAAACAGACCTGACATTATTCCTTGCTTTCTCTTCCCTTTGCAACATTCATGCTAGTGGCCACTGCATGCACAGCTTCCAGAGCACATGCAATGGCCACCAAGCTCGTGTACCTGCTGTGCCATTCACCAGGAAATGGGAGGCCCAGTTCCCACCCTGGGCACGCATGGAATGAAGAAAAGTTCAGCACTGAGCTTGTATTTTAGCCATAGCAGCTTTCACAACTTCTGCAGTAATATCCTAAAATCCCCACAGTAAGAAAGGAAACAAAATCCTGTTTCCAAGAGGAAAAGAAGCCTTGTGCTGTGACTTGTTCTCCCATCTGGAACACAGACAGCAGAGCTGGAGCTGCCATTTGTCCTTACCCGCTACAGATGAATTGTCTCTCTGAAGTTCAGTGCCCAGTGCTCAACCACTGATCTGTGGGATGCCCTTTTCACAGCACCTTCAGTGTGACATATGGGTAGGAAAGTGATGGACAGTAGAAATATCATCATGGTCATGTATACGTTCTAGGATAAGGAACCACATTTAGTTCTGCCACTTAGGTAAGAAGATAAGTAGCAGAATTTCCTTTCTCAGTTTCATGAAAGCAGTGCCCCCCACTGCCCCAATACACACCGTGCTGCGAGTCTGGCTGGCAGAATTTCATACAGTAGATGGGATCAGTGCTACTGAAATAGCGAGCTTTAAACAAGGATGCTCAGGACAGGACACTGGACTGGAGCTGAAAGAAAGCAGCTCAACTCCTGGCTTTCCCCCTGGTATAATGTGTGCTCCATTGCAAATTTCTCTACCATTTTTTTCTTTTACAAAGGTTGCCAGTTCACCCTGAGCAAAGAGATTCCTCACCTAGCTGTGCAGGCCGCAGGATCCTGAGATCTTTAATTCAGGATAAGTGTTAATAAGCACTAGCACTCATTGCACTAGTGACAAGAGAGTGATTTGTTGGCCAGGGATGGACATAATGAGTGAGAACTCTTGAGAAAGACAGCGAGAGCCCAGGGCAGAAGGTGGCTAAGGAGCAAAGCAGTCCAGGACCCTGCTATTCTCATTGAACAAAGCCTTGCAGAGCCAGCTTCTTTGCAGATGTTTCCATTAAATGTGAGATCCACTGTAGCAGCTGTAGGCTCTTTGAGAGCCCTTCATCCTAAAGAAGTGGCAGAAGCACCCAGGTCTGCCTCCCTGCCCTCCAAGTGACCAAGTGCAGCAATGCCAGCATGCAGAGCATCTCAGCCAGCACTGTGCATACACACAACAGCATCTGCAGCTTGCTGGCTAAACCAAGCTATGGATTTTTTACTTTTAAAGCCATTGGTGAAGAAATTAAAAGCTGGAGGAAAAACTCTTGCTTGATTCAGCTGAATCGCATCATTCAGTTCCCCAAAGGTTTTCATTCCTCTCTTTTTTAATCTTTTCAAAGCACCAGAGAATGGCAATTCTCAAGATAAAACATTTCCAAAAGAAAATCCCATCCTTTCTTTCAAAAATATGAAAATAAAACACTTTGAGGCATCTTTTGTTTTTCTATCCTATGAAACCATTCACTGACTTTGACCCAAATCTTCTCTCACTTACATTCCCCCTAAACTGCCTTTTTGTAAGCAGGCTATAAAGAAAAAATCATTGGCTCAATCCCAATCTCCTCCTCTGTATTTGGAAATGCAGAATGATCTGAGATGCCCCATTCTTAAGCTGGTTATTGAGATAAGAGGTCTGATACAACCTCTGATATTTGTGAGATCCCAGCCCATAGGAACACAAGACAAAGGGCAGCAGGGACAGCTGTGCTGGAGGAACACAGAGGGAAGTTTCAGAGCTGTGCTGTGATGAGGGCTCAGACATCCACATGTCACAGCATACTGCAAATGTGTGACATTAATTCAGTTCTGTATAATGCTAAGTAAGCCCTTTAGGCTTGGAAAACTTTGATAGTGTAAAATATATGCACATAATCCACTTTTCTAAGACGTCATCAGGACTTCTGCTGGGGAGACACACAACACTGATGACGTCTCCATGCAAACTTCCCAAAGCTGTAGATACAACATTCCTTCTAACTCCACCTCACACACCTGCAAAAGAAAATGTTCAGAGGTGGTTTCTGTTAAAAAGAATGCAACAAACAAAATTGTTTTGTCCCAGACTCTACAGAGTGCTTTAAGTTTATGTAACAATCTCTGTTGTCTCTGTATCCCTTCTTTCAGCTTTTCCCTGGGAAATGAGCAGGCTTCGGGCTCATGATGATGTTGTTTCTGATGAATAGAATGGTGTCAGTGAGACAAGGTGACTTCTCTCCCTGTGCTGCACCCCCAGGTCCAGGCAGGGCTCTGCCAGCCAAACCATGCCTCTGCACCAGCCTCAAAGCGAGCAGCTGCAGCGAGATGGCACGTCTGCAGCTGCCTGGAATTCAGTGAGCAATTCTGTTGATGCATACAGAGAGGAAGTTCCAGCTGAGTGCTGGCTCCAGAGGACTACAGGATTAAAAACAGCAGAACTGTTCTTCTGCTTCCAGCATCAGACTCGCAAGGCAAGGCTGGAGGGAATCCATCACGTTACTGAGTCTGGGGACTTGCTATGGGCAGTCAGAGCAGGTAATCCAAGGGCAGCAGATCAGCCCTGCTGTAGAATCAGACTTTCTAGCTAGCAGCCACAGCTGTGAGTTTGGGATCTGCTGAATAAATGCAGAAAGGAAAACCTCCGTAGCAGAACTGCCTCTGGAGCAGTTGCTTCTCACAATCTTAATGCTATTGGGTCATGGTAAAAGCTGAGAAGGCAATGTCTGCTCTATTTAGCTGACCTTTGTTTTTATGATCATCATCATTAGCTTTCAGGTAAAAAGCATTGCTGCATCTCCTGTGATTGGGTAACCTCATCAGCCCATTATTTACTGTAGGCCAAAGGCCAGAAGCTGCTTAGAAGTTAAATGCTAGCATTGCAGTTGAAAAAGCAGTGATGTCTGACAGCATGTTGCTGAGGATATGGGCCAATGTGCAGGTAAGTCACACATTTGAAAGAGGAAGGAGATGCTGGCATTGCTTATAGTGAATAAACCCCTAATCTGACACCATCTCTCTGCTTACCTTGGGAGCTCAGCCCTGTGTGATGAAAGACTTTGGGTATGTTCTAAAAATGAGGAGGAGCCTCCATACAGCAGAAAGCATTTCCTACCATCCATTCCCCATTGCTAAAAGCAGCCTATCATCAGTATTTGTGCACTTTCAAGCCCTGCTTTTTTCCATGGACAAAAGCCCAACACTCTGCAATTCTTAAACTCAGTCACCAACTCTCCAAGGAAACTGAATCAATGCACAACAGCCACTCCACTCAGTTTGGGAACTCTGAAAACAAGAGACTTTTTTCCTGAAATAACCTCTCTTCAAATGTATCCTATGGATGTCTACATTTCTCCCTGAGGTTGACATTTAGCTTTTATGCAATGCCTTCTGTTTCAGATGATGGTCTAAGTATTTTTGTGTTTAGTTGTGCAATTAGGAACCTTATTGGAAATACCTCCTCAGCAATTCTAGTGGCCACTGTCCCACCCTCAGCAGAGATCTGTGAATAATTAAAAACCAGGTGCTTCTGCCCCGTTCCACTGCTATCATGCAGAAAGTAATGATCTTTGCTGATGGATGGTGACGTTGGAGCCCTGTCTGAAGATGTTCCCAGTCTTCTTCTAGAATCTATTAGTGATTTCTACACTGTGTGCTTTAAACTCTTCCAACTTAACTCAAGAGCAATATCCATAATAAAGGCTTGCTTTCTATAAAAGTTAACTGGTTAAGTGTCTTCAGGAAATTAGGATTATTTTTTTTTTCAAGAAAAGGAATCTAACTCCTCTGCAATGCTCAGCTTTCCATTTCCTGACTTCCACAATACCTTTATTCTGAGATGATAACAGATGAGTATTTTCCACGTTGGGCGATGAATGAATTCCCAATGCTACAGAAGAGCAGACAAGTCTATCTTTAGCTGACAAACCCCCCTAAAACCCTCCTCACTGTCTATCAGACAGCAGAAATAACAGCAACCCCGTTTTCTCTATTTGCAGGTCATTCTTACAGGCTCTTGAACACAGGCTTCTGGAACAAAGCCTCCACTGCATATGTGATGTAGTACCAAAATGTAACCTGGCTCTAGAGGTACAAATGCCCTGGCAGCACAAAGAAGGTTTCCCAGCTCCCACATTTAAACACACGGAAGGAAAATGAGGCACATGGGCAGAGCACAGCACACTCTGAACGATGCTCCACCTGGATTGACTGCAGGGAAGAAACAGGGGACTCCTGTTCTGCAGTTAGGAGTGAGCACTATAAATTAGCAATTTAATGTTCCTGGGAGGTCTGCAGCTCCCAGATCCTCTGAACTTTTGTTTTAGAGAAACCAGGTCTGTTTCTTTATGGCGAACGATAAAAGAAACTGTCAGCATGTCAGCTTGCTTTGTGCCTGGTATTGTACAGATCTGATTGTTCTATATAGCTCACTTCTAACAATAACCACTAAATCCCGGATGGGAGTTTTTCCTCTTCCAGGAATGGGTTACTCACTAGCAAACATATTTTCCCATTCTAACCCTAAACACGGCCACAGAACGGCCAGGTTCATAACAAACCTGTTTTGTTTCAGAAGAAAGGAGTCCTAAGGCGATGTCTGGCTCCAGCTGTACGTGTTTCATCCCAACCACTGTGAATTTTTCTAGGTCAAGCTTTCGGAGGATCCTTGCAAGATGATGGCTCCAGGCACCAGGTTTGATCAGCAGCACCGTGCAGAGGATCTGGGCTCCTGTAACAAAGCACACTGGTGAAACCCAAAGCTGCTCTTAAAAGCACAGACAAAACAGATAACTCTGTGTATGAGCCAGGACAGGCGCCTATAGAAGAAAACTGGCATGAAGTTCATAGGAATTTGAATTAAACAAGATTGTAAAAAAGCTGTGTGTGTATATATATATATATATATATATATATACGTATAAACGATCTACAGCAGTCTGGGCTTGTAGACCTTTTCCAGGAAGCCTGCTCAACAAATCCAAAAGTTTTACCTGGCAGGTCTGCAGCACGAGACTCCTTCCTTCATGCTGTGTGTGAATGCTTTAAGCAGGATAAAACGTTCTTCATCCTTGAGTGTGTTTAAAATCCGTTTGGATGTGGTGCTCGGGGCCATGATGCCGTGGGGGCTGTTAGTTAGGGCAGTACGGGTGGGCTGAGGTTGGACTTTATGATCCTGAAGGTCTTTTCCAACCTGAGCAATTCAGTGATTCCACGATGAAATCCTTCAGCGGTTATTTTGTTCTCATTCCTCATGGTTTCATCTCTCAGAGTTCTGCACCTCTCTGTTAGAGCTACGTTTCAGAGAGGCATTAACAGTGTGACAGATCCCAGCTGATGTTGTAACCCTTATTATAAGAGGGATCATGTCATCTAAAATTGAAATTTCAGCAAAAAACTTTGGCTTTTGATAAAATGTCCCCAGCAGACCTGCCAGCCATACGCTGCAGAAGCAAAACAAAATGGACCACAATAGTTTGACGGTCTGGTGGCACCAAACCTCTCCAAAGGCAGGAAACGCCTAATCTCACCTTTAAATGACAGCATTTTCAAATCATTCGCTTCGCCAATCTGAAGTGCTGTATTAAATCTAAGCCCCTGTGTTATTGGGACTGTAGTTAAGGTTTTGTCTTGATGACACCCCACCACAATGTTGGGAGCAGTCAGCCAGGACCCACTAACTGCCAGTTCCTACCCACGTCAATTATATGAAGCATGAGGTAGCAGTACTGCAAGCTGTTAAAACTGATGCATGATGATCTGTTTGTGTACATAAAGCACCATTTTATGTTTCCTGTACACCCCATTACTAATTATACAGATGTTGATGCAATGAAGCATCAACAGTGCTGCATGAAATTCGGTGCTTACGGATATTTTCAATTAGCAAGAAGCACGTTGGCGATTCAATGACAGAGAAATAGGGGATCAAAAATAAAAAGCCAGGATACTGACCCCATCTGGCATGAAAACTCAACCCTTATCCTACACAAAGGCCTCCTATTGAAGAACTGATGGTTTCATTTCCACGTATTTCTTGAGCGGAAAGATGTAAATGCCATAGCAACGGCCTGCAAGCAGAAGTGAGGCACTCAGATCCACTCAGCTGCTCGCATATCAACTGTAGGAGCTCACATCAACGCGCATCGCCCTCGTGCTGCTTTCCCCACCATCTGCTGCGTTTCTGGGCAAGCTTCCTCATTCTTGTGGCGTGAGAATCACTGCATGCTGTGTATTTATGCTACTTGAGACACCTCAGGAGGGGATCTCCTTATCCCCTGTGCCACCTTGGTCTGCCCAAAGACAAGCACCTAAACCAAGGTGGGACACTTTGCTAGCCAGAGGTGGTTTTCTCCCCGCGGTGACTGTAAGTGCCAGCATTCACCAACACACCACTGCCTACCAAGGAACGGCCCCTGCTCACCATGTGCTACCAGGAAGGCCCGCTTGGCAGCCATCAGACACATCCAGCCCTGGTTCCGGCTGCTCTGCAGCTCTCCTGGACTTGCCCAATCTTCCTGGTGTTTGTTACATTACAATATTTTTAGATCCTTTCCTACGGCCAATGACTCCACAGCTCTCCCCACAGTTATCCACATGCGTTTTGATTTGATGATGAAACTGAGTCACAGCACCGTATTTATTTCATATACTATTCATATAAAACACTTCATATACGAGCACGGCTTAAAATAGTGTCAACTGAAGAGAAGCAAATACCAGATCTCCTGTCATGCTTAGAAAAGAGAATGAGCATCACTGCCAGTATTCAAGCCCAAGGGAAACGTTGGTATAATCCTTCCACTTATTTTTGGCTGGTACATCTACATGAGTTAGGTTCACAAAATCCAACCGCATTACTCAATTTGCTCTTCTCTCACCTGCGTGCAAGTAGGCAAACAGTGATTCTGCGTGGCATCTCTGGGTCTCTTCCACTAAGCAAGAGAAGCAGAGAGATGTGGGTAAGTACATATATGCACAACCTGGGATAGTAAATTGAGAACAGTGCCACTATCTCTGCATGACGCAGCTAACGCTGCTCTGACACGCTCATCTTAAAATGTGATACCAAGAAATGCATGGCTTGATTCCAGACATGCTGGGAACCCATTTGTATTGGAACATCCTGGGAGGTGTAGTGCTTACCCCCTCTTCAGAGACCCCAATTGCATGCACTGAAAAGGACTGCAAGGACTGAATTACTGTGACTCGGTTACACTTTGTGTTCTTTCTCAGTCACCATTTCAGGGAGCAGCTAAAATGGTTATAAGCCACCTCCATGCTCCCAGAATTTTACAATTAACTTGGAAAATGCCATGAAACCCAGGACTGCTTATTTTTTTCCCCCCTCCCCAGCTGTGCCCTTGGAAGCAGAGAAGGGCTGTGTGTTCTGGTACACACTTAGGTAGCAGAGATCTGAAACCTGATGTTCCCTAGACAGGAATGGTCGACTTCAGAGGTTTCTCATGAGAGCAAAGCAGTGTGAAAGGAGTCAGGTGCAAATGAGCCATAACTAAAGCCCACATAAAAATGTTTCCTTCAGTCCAATGATAAACCTGCAAGTGACCCAAAGAGGTGAGGGAAACGTAAGGCACGTGGGAATTGAGAATTGTGAATCCTGGACTTCTCTTCCCATTGATCCTTACTGGCAAATTTAACCAGTGAGATGTGCAAGGTAGATAGTAAGAAAACCAAAATTTGTTTGCCAAAACAAAGCAATCACCATTCCTTCGTATTTATTACTCTCTGGAATCCATGTATTTCTGTTTCCCAGAGCAACTTATCTGGAAGGTATCTAGCCAGTGTTCTTTTCTTTTACTGAGACTTTTTTTCTTTCAAAAGGTGCATTCTATGTTGCTGGAAATGTTAAGAGAGAATACATAAGGTGAAAGCAGCTCTGAGGTCCTTGCCTTGTAACTTTTAGCTCACATCTTCACAGTACAACTTATTCTCTTCAGCAGTGGAGTGATCTGTTAGAACCAACATCTGTGAAGCGCCTGCTGGTTTGGTGGCACTGTAGTGCAGAGAGCAGAGCTCCTGACTGAGGCTTAGGAAATGTGTGTTCTGCTCTCATTTCTGTCACTCAGTCACTGGGGAATGAAGACCAGCACCCCTCTAGGCTCCCACTATCCTTTCTGCTGACAGCTGAAAAGTGCTACTAAAGAGCTGAGATCTTCTCTTCTACATTCCACACCAGCCACAGGTAAGTGGTTGAGGCACACAAAGAACTGCAGAATAAAGGTGATTCTGCAGCAGTACTTCCACCCCCAGTACCAAAAGCAGGGTTATCCAACCTTTACTTCCTAATTGCCCAGGATAATGATGTCTAACCAAAGCTTCACCATTCCATTCTGATGACTCTGACAGAGGGCTTGGAGTTGCATTGTTTCTTCCATCTATTTTAAGAGTATAAAATAGTATTTTTTTTTGTTATTGAAGAGGGAACTGGTGCACACGTCTGACCTTACCTCCAGCCCTGGATGTCTTGCCAGGTGGTGGCAGGTATTTGGCAGTAGGACAGTGTTCTGGATCTGTAAAAGGAAGATGTGATTTTGTGGATTCACTGATGAAGAATCCTTACTGTTTGGGAGGTGGGGACTAAGGAAAGTAGTCTTGTTTAGCATGGGAAACGGCAGAGCTTCCAGTTGCTACAAAATGCTGAAGAGCTGTTCTCTAGCACAAAGACCCTTCCACTCCTCCCACAGCAACATAGACAGGAGGAAAGATGCAGTGACCTTACAGAAGTGATAGTGCAGAGTGCTAAAGTCATAGTGAGAAGACACAGCTGTGTCGTGGTGGGAAAGGTGATATTGTGATTTTCACTGCCCCTCAGTAAATCAATCTCACAGTTCTGGATTTCTTATCCTGCCTTCTGGTGTCAAGACAACCTCAGTGAAGGACAGCAGTACACGCAGTCCTACAGTTTTATGCAGTAATTTGGGATGTCTGTTGCACCCTGTTTTGAAGGCTTCCTCTTTCTGCTCTCCAAACTCACACAAAACACCCACATAGTTCACTGTCAGATCTGACTTTTGTGATACTAGAATGAGTGATTTTTTCCTGACACCACATTTTCTTCTTTCTACTCAGCAAAGCCAGTTTGTTATTCTGCACTGCACAAGCACAGTGTGTTTGACACAAGCATCTAACTTTGTCTTGACAACAAAGGACCTTTCTTCCTCAGAAAAAGATAGGAGAAGAACTATAAATTACAAAGCATGAATGCATTTGTGGAACTCCACCATTCCTTCTCAGTTGATATGTGGTGTTATCACAGTCTTCATTTATTTATGTGTCTGAACAATCAGAAATCATCAGGTTCAGAACTATTTATCTTGGGGGTAAGGAGTGAAGCATCCCCAAGAGCTTAGGTGACATCCAATGTATTCCACTGCAGAAGAAAACAGTGGGGGCTCATGCACTGCTGGTCAAAAGTATCCAATATGAATAATATCTCAGTCTGCACAATGATTTAAAGGGTGTGGGCTACACATTTCTTGGTACAGCAGGAAACAAGCAGGTTTTCAGTGCTGAAAGATCAATGCTAGCATATATCATTGAAGTCTGAGAAGTCTTGACAACAGAGGTCTCCATTCCTCATGAACAGTTCACTCTGTTCCAGCATAAAAAGAAGTTCAAGAAAATCTGCTTGCTTCAGCTCTTATAGATTGGAAGTACCTTCATCTGCCTGAGTATAGGGCAAGCTCAGGGCATCTAGACTGAAGAAGTCAAGCATGACAATGACATGCCCACACATAGATGGGATAGATCACGGCCTCTTATACACAGAAAGAATATTATTTACTGGTCCTGGTAACTCCTGTGATGTCTGTTAAGCATTTGAGTACCCAGAAACCTCCAGAAAGGGAACCAGGCCATGTGTTATATTAATAGGCCAACCTGCAGATGACCTCACTTGACTCCTGCAGATTTAATATCCCTGATTATATAGCCAAGTGAATAATTTAAACCCAAATAATTCAGTCTTCCTGTGCCTTAGGAAAAAAACTTAGAAAAGGATTTATTCATCCAAGTTCAATAAGTTCCCATACAGCCTGTATCTAAGAACATTGTAAACAATAAAAGCATGGCTTACCAGCTACCAGATCCTTCTCTGTGAAGAAAAGGATGGCTTGTCTGAACGCTACCTCTGGGGTCAAGGCCATTACTCTCTGCAGAGCACTGTCACTTTCGCGTAGCTCCTCCCTGCACTGTGTTAATCTCTTTAATGCATCTTCAAGGGCTTGGAAGGCATTGATCCGCCGTAACGCACACACAAGGACTGGATTAGACATCAGTGTATCAAGGCTTCTCCGCCAAGAAGCATCTCCAACCTCAAAAGGGGTCACTTCTTTTGCCTGACGCCGAGTGAGACGGGGCAACCACTTGAGACCTAGAAGCTCAAACCCTGAATCAGGTCCTTCTGCAAGTCAAAGGAAATATTTCTAGTATCAGTTGACATGTTTCATAAAAGTCACAGTACTTTTGGAGACAAGTGCTCTAATCTATTAGACTAGAAGTCTCAAAGTTGCAAGGGAAGGTTTAGACTGGATGTAAGAAAACAAGTTTTTTTGTGTGATAATGGTGGTGAAACAGTGGAACGGTCTGTTCAGAGAGCTGCCCATCCTTGGAGACATTAAAGGTCAGGCTGGCCTAGGCTCTGAGCACCTGACAGAGCTGTAGGTGACCCTGCTCACTGCAGGGGACTTGGACCAGACAGCTTTTAACGATCCCTTCCAACCCAAGCAATTCCATGGTATTTACAGGGTCAGTCCATGAGTTCAGGTTGCTGGAAGTTTCAGTCAGCTGGAATCTCCTCTTTGCCTACTGTGATATAGATCTCACTAAACAGCCCCACCTCAAGAGAGCAGGACACAGAATAAGAGTGCAGACAGTATGCCAGACTTCTGCCCTTCATCAGGGCAGTGACTGCATTATTGCACACTAATGCAATCTGCATCATGAAATTACATACAATCTTCATCTTGTTAGCACCTGACAGCACTCATCATTTGTGATCATTTAATGCATGGGACAGCGTCATTACTCCTCCCCTGCATGAGGAAATGAGGCATTAAGAGGTGTGCTGTCTTGTTTCTGGTCACAAAGGATGTCAGTGGACCAGCAGTAATAGAATTTGTGACTTCCGAATTCCTGTTGCTGTGCCTTCCCTGCACAGCTGCATTTTCTCTCGCTGCTTAGAAGACGAGGAAAACAGAAAAGGCTTCGCACATACTGGAACTATTTTGACCCTCTCTGAAGAAAATGCCCGCCTGTGTCAAATGGAAAGCAGCCTTGCCCACTACCTAGCCATGACAAATTCTTCAGCACTTCTGGCAGTAAATGAAGAAATCATTTGTTTAAATACGTATCTCTTTTTTTCAAAGCTTTCTGGCTATGATAAAAGCAGCCAGACAGGCTCAACTTTCCTGACCAACTTCTACAGCCTCCCCCAGGAGCTGCCAGCAATCACCTGCATTCTGATGCTGACTACTGCTCCCAGGAAGAAGGATCTGGCAAAGGAGTTCTCCAGCACTGCCCATAGCATCCTTCCCAACCAGTGTCAGCAGGACTACTTGCTCCATTTCAGGATCGGAAGCAAATCTTCGGTTGCAGAAAAAATCCAGAGGAATGTTACACGGGTCTGGAACTGCACTGAAGTTTCCTCCTGTCCAGAGACATCATCCAAACAAACGTAGTTACTGCCCATAAACAAACATCCATTCCTGTTTAGCAAAAAGGAACTGGCTAATTCTCTATTAGGCAGTGCAACACTGCGATGCAGCTCAGCACAGCTGAAAGAAGAAACACATGTAAGGAGCAGAATCACAGCAAATCCTCACTAATTAGTCACACTCCTTAACTGGAATTGCTTTTGGCATGTAAAGCAAATATACTCAAACCCTAATTTTGATGTCCTTATTCGCACTGTTTAACAGTGTTGATAGATCTGTAGCAAAATGATTTAAGGCATAAATTTCAGATTGATAACTAAGGCTTGGCTTTGCATTCAATTGATACTTCATATTGTGTTCTAGGAGATAACACAGCATGAAACTGAGCACAGAAAAACAGGAGACACTGTATTATGCACATATCCATCGTCCTACCAGGAACAACAGAGCCTGCAGAATTCCCAGTCCCATCAGAAAGCTGGGCTTCATCCTATACTGTTTCAAGTGCATGAATATTTAAGCAACTGTACAGATTAACACCCATATACTTAACTATTCCCACATCTTAGCATTTCATAATGAAAGAAAATAGTGAATGACATGCACTGGATTTCTACCCCCCCCACAATTTATGTTAATTTGGTTGTAGGGAGAGATAAGACTAGAGGAAATGGCTCCAAGTTATGCCATGGGAGGTTCAGGTTGGATGTAAGGAAAAAATTCTTCTCCAGAAGAGTGGTATATAAACAGCATTACCCGTAGTTAGCAAAATAAACTTCTGGTTACTGTAACATCCAAGCATATAGAACAAGTAGTTCTAGGACACTCCAACCCATTTGAGTCATAAGTCTGTAACAAGTTTACTTGCTTTTCCAAACCTTATCAATTTTCCAGCTTTGAATGAATGAGTTACTGACATGAATTCAAGTGCATGCATTGAAATTAAGGGCTTCAGAGTAAAGAGAAATGAAAAAGTGCCTTCTCTGCAACTGCAGAAGGAATTGCAGCTGCCTACGTGCATTACTTCAGCAAATCCTAGTTCTACATACTGAATGGGTGATTTATCTCATTTGAATATCTTGACTTGTCTTTAAAACTGTGTCAGTAAATACACATTGGTAGGATTCTTTTAATCCCGGCAATTTTAAGGCTTCACTGCTTGTTGTCAGGTCATATTTAATGTAAATGTAAGTAAAAATACATTATTTAATCTACTTCAAAGTTATTTCCATATTGCTTTTCCATGGATTCTTCCATTCGCTTTGCAGAAGTAGAAGACATTCAATGAGTTTTTACAATTGAAGGACACTGGAACACTAAATGAGTTACTGTAGAGAATGAGCATTCTCCTAATGCTCTTAATCAGGGAATTCCTCTGGTAAAAGTTGTCAGACCTTACAAGAGATAGAATACTGCATTGCCATAGCCTTTACCTACCCAGCATCTGCAGCAAGTTCTCAGTGTAAGGAGCCACATGGAAGCACATGGAGGAGTCCAGCCTGGCTGTGGCAGGCAAGCTGCTCTGCCTGTTGCCAAGGAGGCCTTGCTGTGCCAGTTCATTCATCAGTCCTGTGCACAAAACAAGAGCGTGTGAGGAGCACAAAGCCCCGTGATGCAGTCTGACATGAAAACCACGCTTCTTATCAAGTATTTTGATTCATCTGACCACAGATGCATTACAGAGACATCTATATGGGGTCACACTGAGCTTGCCTCATGAAACGCAGTTCTATCATTCCCTCTTCCCCAACCCATATTCACATACAGTCAGGAAGGGGGCTGTTGAACGCTGAGAGCTGGTCACAGCTTTCTCTGGAGACACCTCTGCCTTCTGACCAGGACTCATTTGTTTCAGCTACAGGCAGTGGACTGAGATAAGGAATGCACACACAGAATATCCTACACAGCTCCTGCACTGCCGTAGGTGTCCTAAGCAAGTTGTTGCCCACAAGAAAAAATAGCTCTAATTTTGGACCCACTGTTTGAGTCCAGAGCCTCAGTATCAGTGGCAAGGCCAATATTCTGCATCCTACACAGCACCACGAGGCCAGAGAGCTATTGTAAGGTTAATAGATGGAAATCCCAGTCTGGAAAATATCTTAACTGCACTTTTACAAGTACTGAGTGCTGGAAACTAACAGCCATCGCTCCCATTCTTCCCCAAAGGGCCAGGCTATGCACAGGCTGTGCACTAACATACTGGCATAGAGTGCAGTTTCACAACAATTGGTTGTATTTTACAATAATATTTCAGGCATTTTTTAAGGTTTGTTATTTTTAAAGTTATTTTGCACATATCTTTGCTTTCCATTCTACAAGCCTGTCAACAATTTACTGCAGCATGGCACGGAAAATGGATTATTAGCTGTAGACATTGATGACAAACCTCAGATGCCAAATGTGGCGCTGACACAGACTTGAGCTTGTCCCACTGACAACTAACCACCTGCTTTTTAAAATTCAGATGGCAAAAATAAATGAAACCTCCTTTCAGTACCTGAAGGATGCTACCCTCCAGTACTTAAATGGGTCCTACTAGAAAGCTGAAGAGGGACTCTTTATCAGGAACTGTAGAGCTATGACAAGGGGTAGTAGCTTTAAACTAGAAAAAGGGAGACTTAGGTTAGATATTAGGATGAAATTCTTTACCCAGAAGGTAGTGAGGCCCTGGCTCTGCTTCCCGGAGAGCTGGGGATGCTGCATCCCTGAAGGTGCCCAAGGGCGTGGATGAGGCCCTGAGCAGCTTGAGCTGGGGAGAGGTGTCCCTGCCCATGGCAGGGGGTTGGAATTAAATGGTCTTTAAGATCCCTTCCAGCCAAAAACACGCTGTGATTCTGTAACTTGCCATAACTTATCCTAGAGCATTATCTGCTCCCTGTTCAAACACAGCAAAGGAAAGCTTGGTCAAAAATTGATGGTGTTGATACAGAAATGTTTCCTATAGGCACCTATCTCTCTGCTCCATTTCAAGAATGACTGCTGAAGTTTGCTTTGCTTTGAAGATTGAGCAGTGGTGAACATCAAAGAAGTGACTGCTTATCAGGGGTTTATTGATTAAACACACAAAACTGCTTAGTATGGTTTTGACCCTACTCAATTCCTAGTGCTGTCCTACGCTTCCCAGAAGCTAAACCAAAGCTTATGTGGCAACAACAACTTTCCTCTCCAAGGCTCTTGAATATAGAATAAGCTAGCTCTCTGGATCACTTCTGAAGCAAAGAGGGTGCAAAAGAGGCATTTGCAAAAATCTCTCTACAAAGGAAAAAAAAATAATAAATTGACAGCTCTACAATAAGAGCAAATATTTTACCCTTCCTGAACATTTTTTTCCCAGTGTCCACAGAGATATTGCTAGTGCAAATTTCGCTGTGCAAAACAAACACTGTAAATGTCATCTGCAGCACTTCTTGAGGGACAAAGCAGAAGCCATTTTTCTTTAGTGAGCAACTTTCCTTAGGTCTGCAGGCAGGAGGGACATGGTGCTGTAATCAGTCTGCCATGATTAATCCATGGTGTCTAAATACGTTTTCAGAACATATTGTGATGGTCTTCGGAAGAAAAAGGGGGGACTTCTTGAAGCTTTTTTTTTTTCCTCCAAAAACTTGAGATGTTCTTTTCTACTGTGGATGGATTATAAGAGGTAAACATCATAAAAGGCAATGGATGAACGCCTCCTTCAGGAGCAAGCTGCTGTGGTGTAATGGAGGGGTCAGCAGCTGTTCTGGAACTGTTCAGGCTACAGTGACCCACTTATCCCAGCAGTCTAAAGGGCAGGCTGTGAAAAAAGAGACACTGGAATGGAGCGTCCTGCTGCAGGCAATTTGCCCACTGCCAGGGCAGGAAGCAGCAGGCAGGTCAGGGCTCTCTGTTCTGTGCTGATCACTGCTGCTGTTTGTGACTTTCCCCACTTAAGGCCAATGTCGGTTTATCCTTAAGAAAACTAAATAACTCTCATCCTGAATCAGAGAATCAGAACAGAGTTTGAATCAACTAAGAGGATCTGGGGCAGCTACATGTCTGTTCTTTTGGCAGTCTCTACATATAAAATAAGTTGCAGTTCAGATGCTTGGAAGTCACAAGCACACAGAATTCCGGGCTGAGGTTGATAGGACTGTATGATATCCTCAGGCCCAGTGACAGGCAGCCTACTCCTCTGGGAAGTAATAATACCTAAGAGAAAACATGAAGCCAAGCCCATTACAAAGGTGTATAGTGGAAAGCCAAGAGACAAGGGTCATGAATTCAAACAGAGGAGGTTCCACTTTGACATAAGGGGAAAAAAACAGTGCTGTATGTGGAGAGTCAAGCATTGGAAGAGAGGAGCAAGAGAGGCAGTGGAATCTCTGCCCTTACAGATCCCCAAAGCTTGACTTGCCTACAGCATCCTGGTCTGAATTCATTGCTGAGGCTGTGCTCAACAGGACACTGGGTGACTGACCTTCTGTCACCCCCCCAACGTAAATTATTTTATGATTCTAAACTCAAAAGGATTTCAGTGCTAAAGATCAAGTAATTGACAAAGATTAATCTGCTGTGTAGGATATGTAGAAGTGGCTGATCTAGAAAAATGGGCCTGGAGATTCCTCAAATCTTCCCACAGTGTAACATATTTGCCAAGGCTTTTAACCTCTAGTTCAAATGCTCTAAAATGCTGAGGTTTTTGAGAACTGAAAGCATTACCTTTTACCAATGCAAGAATATGATGACTAGCATCCTCCTTTCTCAGCAACAAGACAAGACAGTGCACGTGTGGCTCAGCAGAAAGCTCTCCTCTTGCAGAACTGTTCTCAGGAAAACTAGAAATCTTGCCAGGGCAAAATAGAGCAATCTGAAATAACAAGGACCAGATTAGAAGACTAAATCCAGATTTAAGCACTACAAGGCTCAAGCAAACATTGAAGTTATGATGGCATATGAAGACACAGCAACACCAGTCGAACCACATTAACTTCCATTAATATAGCAGGTATTAGTAGGTGCTCATTTGTCATCTCTTCATGAGACAGAGGAATTTAACTTAAATCTCATGAAAAGACTTAACATAAAATGCTTTGCTCTACAACTGGGCTGAACAAAAACCACAATGGTTATAAATACACAGAATAAGTGGTAGTATTCTAAATTACTCATTCAAAAATGATCTTGAACCCCAAGTTCTGAAACACTTAGCACCAGAGAACACATTAAAACAATAATTTCTGCTGCTATCTTCTGAAATAGCCATTTAGGAGCATGCCCCAGATATCTGCCCATTTTTGCTGTAGCATTCCATATATAGGCATTGCTTTCATTCTACAAGATATTATGGGCAGGGAAAGTGTTCTTCCTCATGCTTGATTAGAGAACAAGCAGAAAAGAAGGCTTCTGTGCAATTTAGTTTGCAGAATGAAACATTTCCTTATTAACGTAGGAAACAACTCTAAGCGTGAACATTTGAAGTGAAGGAACACAGTCCTCTGTAAGACAAAGTGTCACAGGATTCCTGGGTGATTTACAGTACAGAGATGGACTTCTTGTACAAGTTCAAATGTATTTTTGCATTTATGATCATTTATTTCCTAGGTTGACAGGTCAAAATGCCAACTTCTCTCTATTCAACTCAAATCTACCGTGTTACACAGAGCTTAAGAGAAAGAAAAAGGTTATTTTTGACGATAGGAAAGCTCTTCTTGCAAGCCATCTGAATGCATTAAGTCAGGGGACTGCTTCATGCTGAAAGGCCACAAGCAGACCCAGAGGGACTGTGAAGCACACAGTCATACATCAGTCTGTTAGACAAAGACTGTTCTGAATACAGGTTTCCAGATCAGAAATTGTTATTTTCATTTCTGAAACTTCTGAAACATTTACGAACTGTCTGTTCTTTCTTATTTTGAGATCAATGGCAAAATTAATGCTTGCTTTAGTAGAAGCAAGTCTGTTTATGCTTAGGTTCAGTGAGAGGCTTAGGCCTAGTGGGATTTTCTTACTAATGAAAAAAAACCAAACCATCAGCACTGAAAGTAACCAGAAGGCCACTCACAGGAACATAGAGAACAGAAGTGCTGGTAAAGAGATGATGAGTGCCCTCGAGAACACTTGCTAAAGGAGTGTCAGCTCACACATCCATAAACTTACAACACAGTAAGCTTCAAAAACGTGAAGCCAAGTTATACAACCAAGCAGTGCATTCTGTCTGGTACCTGACTTGTTGTCATGCTCAGCACAATGGCTTGCTTGTGTGAAAGCTGCAGCTGTCTGATTCCTTGCAGAGCAAACCCTCGACGAGTACAGACTGCAATCACGTTACCATAGGCATGAGGAGGTACCAGAGGTGACACTGTCAAAATGACGTCCCCTAGATCAAAGAGAAGGTAAGGAAAGCTGTGGTATTACTGCAAAGAAACTCTCAGCAGCCAGATCCTACTCGAAGCACATCCCAAATAGAGACACCGTATTTCATGGTTTATTTCTTCTATCCATCTTATAATGGCTGCTTTCAGGAGCCAACATACAACAGTAAAGCTTATGGCACTATCAGTAATCTCTTTGTGAATCACCTGCTCCAGACATTCTATCTCATAAAGTCTATCCAGCCATCTACGAGCTACTCATCTATCTTTGAGATATCTGTGCTCTCAGGCCTTATGATGGCCCTGTGTCCACCCCTAACAGGCTGTGCCTGAGCAAGCTGACAGCACTGAGATCACCAGAAGACTAAGAATAAATCTGGCCAAAGTGATGAGTAACTAAACGAGGTCAAGACTGGCTGCTGACTTGTCTACTACAAGGCGTGTGAGGCAGCCCCAGCTATTCCTCTCTGCTACCACTGCTAGTCTGCAGGACCACAATTTACACAACCCTGACCAGCATGAACCTCTTCAGCCCAGTCTTTACTCTTCATCCCAGAGGCTGGCACGTGGCATAGGCTACAGAATCTTTGGACCAGCCTCTGATCATGATGTTACTCTACTCTTGCTTGGTACCACCTGTGGCTTCACAGACTCCTGTCTTTGGTGATCCTAATGGCACCAGCCTGCTTTCTACTACCTGAGTTTCCTTCCTACCTAAGCTGTAGCCACTAGATCTGGTTACTTGTGCTCTGCTTGTATCCCTCACCCCAGACAAGTCCATAGAAGCAACTAGGGTTGATATTGGCTTAGAATCTCAGGTTATTAACTTCTGTTTTTTAGGTTTAACTCCAAGCTCACTGCCAACAAGGTGGCAGATCTCTGTAACTTCCAAGAAAGCTCTAAATAAACAAAATTCAGGGTTGCAGGTGGTAAGATTTCGGTTCATCTCTAGTAAATAACACTTAAAGAAAACAAACATTTTTCTTTTTTCACATGCACACATCCCAAACGAATGGGAAATCTGCTAGGGTCAATAGAACTTTTCTTACTGGGATGAAGTGTATACATCTGATGGGTGGAGCAGCATATTTGTTCTGCATGCTCTGCATGGGTGCATCTTTCCATCTCAAGGAGAAGCTGCTGCAGACCTGGTGGAAGGAATAAGTAAATGTTTCCTTTGCTTAACACACCACAGGGTGTCTGCTCCCAGATCAGTTTTTTGGCTTCTCTTTGAGAGTCATGATAGTTATCTGAGGAGAAAAGCCTGAAAGTGATTTCCTGAGCCCAAATACAGATGGAACGTGGTGTAGTATAACTCAGCAGCCCACATCAAATGTGAATCATTAATAGCCATAAAAGGAAGGGGAGGCAGAAAATGTGAGTCATTCCATCAGCAGCAACCAGCTGCCATCAATACCAATCCCAAATAACATGGAGCAAATGGCTGTATGCCAAGCTACTTGAATTAACATGCCCAGTTAAACAAGAGACTGCATCTCAAAGGTAAGACTTTTCTTTCTTTCCTTTTTCCATTTTTTCCTGTCACTTTCCCCTCTTTTCATCTTACATTTTCATTCCTTTCTCATAACTCCTTTCCTTTAGGAATATAACCTTCTTTACCTTCTCTCTACATCAGTATGATCCTATTTTCCTCCAGTCATCCTTTCCCTGACAGCTGCTGAGATTCCACACCCCTCTGTGCTTTTTGATATTGCCCCCCACAGGAAGAAGGAGGGGGGGGAGGAGAGGGGAAATCTTTTCAACTGTGGGAGTAGAAACATGATAGCAATGTTCTAATAGCATTGTCTCATAATCACCTGCACCTGAGATCTGCTTTGCCAGGCCCAACTACAGAAGATGACGAGCACACTGGCCCATCTGCAGCAGACACCTCTCCCATCCCTCAGAGCCAGTCCTAACACCAAGTGCTCAGCAGGCTCCCTTGAACACAGTCAAGCTGCTGCTAGCTAGCTAGAAATTTAGAAGCTAGAAGATTGCTCCTACAAAGGGCACTTGGATAGAGGAGTCAGGTGATAGTTAATGTTAGTCCCATTAAATGCTTTCTTTTCTGATTACATAGTCAGTCCTGGCTTGAATGAATTCTTAACTATTTCACACCCTATTACATTCAGCTACCTGTACTGGTCTAGAGTTGATTTCTGATCAGTTAAGCAAGCAGTCTAAGGACACTGTTAGGTAATCACAATAGCTCCTTGATAAACAGCCCCCTTACAAGCACAAATTTGTTGTGGGAGTTTTTGTGTGTGCGTTTTTAAGTGAAACCTAAGCAGCCTACAGGACTCAAGCAGCTGCTCCCATGAGGAGGATGATGTGATAACAGTTCTCTGTCACTTCATTTTAGGCAACAGCGTTTCAGTAGAAATTCATTTCTGGCTCTGGACCTGGCCAGATCACAACACTGAGTAAGGCAGAATTTCCTGAAACAGGTGCACTGGAGTGAGGTAACTCTGTCAGTGAAGGAGAGCCATAAAACCTCAAGATTAGTTCCCTATTACGAACCATTGGTAGGTGAGACAAGCGTTGCTGGAGGCTGAGGCTGCACCATGCCCTGGAGATAAACCTTTTCCTCATCTGCTTCTTCTCTAGTTGATGAAGGACTCTGAGATCTAAAGAAAAACAGCAGATACTAAAAGGTGTTGTGCCAAGTTCTGAGTCCAACCCCCTTTCTGCAACAGACCCAGGGTCAAGAAAGCTGTAACGGAAAGGCCATTTCAACCCCCTGTTGATGCCACGAGCTACACCAAGTTCTCTCAGATTGACTGTCTCTTCTATTACTCCCTCCAAGGGTCTTTTTGCTCAATAGCACAACCTAATACAAAGTGGCCAGTTTGGAAATAAAAAAATGTCAGGCTACATTATCAGTGTTTTTCCTACCCTGCAGATACATCACAGCTGCTATTTACTTTTGGTTCTTCTGCCAGAACTTAAGTAGTTTTAAATCAGTCACGGTGCTTCTCTGCTGCTTCGTGTTGGGTAACAAGCACCATCAAGACTGTCACAGATGTTCATCACAGTGAAACCTCTCCACATTCTTGCATACCCAAAAAGACCAAATGACGGCACAGTGAACATAAGGTGTGGTTCAGAAAGCCAGGGACTGAGAAGGCAAACTGCAGTCTGCACAACAGTTTGGCTAGGTCTGTGAAATGCAGGCTGTTCAGGCAAACCTGTCCGCCTCATTCCCCTGCTACTGAGTTGGAATACATCCTGCTTGTTCACTCCCAGGAGACTGAGAGAAGCCACTAGTATTTGCAAGTACAATCTGACAAACTGAATTCTGAGGTGCAGCTTGTATTCTGATCTCCCAGCGGGTCAAATTACCAGCATTAGGAGATGGGCACAATTCTAGCACCACTCTGGACCGGCTGAGTTATACCAGAGGAGCAGAATTCATCATCTCTGTAGGAGAAAAAGCATCCTTGAGGAAAACAAATAAAAAGAATGAAAGTTGGCCAAATTGAGTTTTACATATCATAAACTAAAAATGATGAATTGTTGCTCATGAGGAAACAAAGCCAAACTCTGACACATAACCCCCTCTGCGGGCATCAGATGAGCTCTGCATGGATGCACTCCTCCCCACAGCAGAAAGCACCAAGGCTGTAGAGCCCCTCACCCCTCGCTCTCTGCCACCAGCAGTGTGCTTGCAGCACTGAGCAGCTGGGAACTGTAAAACCTGCCCAGAACTTGCAGGTTCAGGGCACTGCCTGAGCTGCAGGGGAGTTCCACCACACCAACACATCTTTAATTCAGTTATATTGAAAGGAGATGCCTAAGGCCTAAAAAACCCAGTGGCTGGCACTCCACATGATTATTACACAGCCCTGTAGAGCAGCCAGGAAAGGGTGTCTCAGTTTCATATTACCCCAGTTGTTGGAAATTCCTTGAAGCCCTAAGCCAAATCTTTTGATAAAGCACTGTAGGCCAAATGCTTTGAGGCCCAGATCCACTTCTGCCTGGAAAAACCCAAGGGGTGTCTTTCAGAAGCCCCAAAAAATGCAAGTGCTTCTTTTCTCTGACCTGTGCAGGCCAGCCTACTCTGATGTCTTTGCAGCAGCAGTCTGAGGAAAGGGACCTCAAGCACAGCAGGGCTCTTCATTTAGGAAGAGGATTCACAGGACTGAGTGAGACTCCTGGGTCTTAGGTTTGAGTCTCCATCTGGGAAGTAGCAGGGTTGTCAGGAAGTAAGTGATCATTCCATACTGTAGGAAGGCTACTGAGGGAAAAAAAGTGCTGGGAAGGAGTAGTGCCAAGGGTATCCCCAGACTACTGACCCAGCTTCCCTCTGCTTTCCTGCAGCCATGGACAATGTGAAAGGGCTGCTGAGTGCTGACTTCAGAGCTGAACAGAAGCTTTTCTCTTCTTCTCTCTTTTCACTCCTTTTCCCTGATGCATGTGCCTCTGTTCTGCTGAGGAAGGCCAAGAGCAGACTTTATAGCAGACCACCACCAATATCACAAACCAAGCAACTTTAAGAATAAAAAAACATTGGAGAGGTTTGGCTATCTTGAACAGAAATGTGAGCCTTTGGGAGCTACAGCCTGCCTCCTTGTAGTTATGCACAGTAGAATACATATTGCTGAAGGGTGCATGATGGATTAATAGCTACTTAATAACCCAGTTCCTTCTGCAGCTAAACTCAGCTCTATCCAAGAGCAAGATTCCAGACTCCTGAGTCTTTCCAGTTCCTTAAACTTTTTGGCACCCCACTGCTATGCCACCAGTTCCTAAGCTGTTTTTATTCACGCTAATTTGCTTAAGAGCCAATTTGCTTTATAAGCCATCCTTCATTCTCACACACACTTCTGTCATAATCCTCCCAAGAACCTTTTCCATCTGAAGCTCCTTATCTCCAATCTGTTAATATGAAAGGGACAAAGGGCAGAGCTGCATCTGGAGAACAGGCTGCTCAATGGCACGCAATCTTGCGGCCTTTTTCCAACACCAGGCAGAGCTAGAAGAGTTTTCAAACCAGGCTGATCAGCCATTACTGACACAGAAGGGGCCCAGGTGTTGCAAGTGTAGGAATTGAAGGTCTTCCAGGGAAGAACTGATGGGAGGCAACTGCAGGAATCCCACACCTGACATATCGAGGGGAGACAGTGATGTGAGAGATGTGCTTTTACAGACTGTAGTAACCCATGTGAAAACTGAAACAGTATACAGATTCCATCCTTCACTCTTGTTCTTTCAGACCTTTGGCAGAAGACCAATAAAGACAAAGCATGCCAACTGTGTGCTTGTCTGTCCTCCACACTGCTTTGCCTGGGAGAACTACCATCACTCAAAAACATGCAGGCCAGCACCCTCACCTTGTTCTGTTGTATCTGGGGGTCGGATCCAGGATACCACCATGCAGTGCTGCATCAGCAGCCCTCCCTCCAAACCAGAGGCACAGCTCCCTGTGCACACAGCTGTCCTGCTGGGGCAGGTGGACAAGAGGCTCTGTGTGGCTCGTGCAGTAGATGGCACTGATGGAACTGCAGTCTGTCATGCCAGCCAGCTGCGGGTCAGATGGCCCAGTGATATTCTGCATGGTGCTAACTCCTTTAGGCCCTCTCACCCCTAATGCCAGCACCTTGTCAGTCTCTGAAGCATAGGAAGAAGGCAGTTTTCCTGTGAAAGACAAATGCATTCAAATAAAACATGGAACAGCCCACCCCAAGGTCATTCATTCCACTCCAGTGCTTTTTTCAGATCTGTCACAGTTGGGCACAAAGTAACCTATGGGTTATCTGTCCTGCAGGTGTTACACTGGCAACCAGCTGCACATTTTTACCCAACTGTAAATCTGAGATTGCTCAAGGTAGCTTACCTGTTAGAGAAAAAAAAGAGTGGGATGCTTCATATTTGCTGTGGATAAGGGTGTGCATAGGGTTAGTTACTAAGCAGCAGCCAGCTGTCAGAAGCCAGCACTTTAACTTCTGGTGATGTATACTGTCTCATACAAGGAAGGCTGGTGGGTTTGAAGGGGAGACAGGGCAAGAACATGGCCCTGAGAAGAAGAATACTTTCTGTAATTTACATCAGATATGGGAAAACTAGGGAGAAGATCGCAAGCTGAAAATCCATCCACATCTTTTCTAGTTTATTTCCCTCTGTATAAAATAAAGATTTGTCCTATGTTCTATAAACATAGTCCTATGTTTATAAACATATGAACAAGTCCTATGTTGTATAAAGATGTATCCCAATATTTGCTAAGCCAGCTTTATTCCCCTTCCAGGATTTGTGGCTTTCCTCATTTCCTGCAGTAATTCTTCCTTACACCTCTGACAAACCCTTCTCCATGCTCACTGTCAGTACTGCTGGGGTTCAGTAAGTAACCCCAGAAAAGAGCAAGCTTGGGTCCTCTCCAGTTCTTACTGTACAAAAGCAGAAAGACTTGTCATTCTCTTCCCTGACATTTAAATGCATTCATTTACATCACTAGCTGCATGAGAATCAGAAGGCAGAACATAAATCTCCAGAACAGGTAGAGAATGGAGAAATGGTCTGAAAATATTTAAAATAATCCAGTCTTCAAACTCACAGAGCAGTTCTCAGCTGAAATTAATTGTTCTTCACACAAAATGTTAATAATGGTAAGAGTTGGGAGCACTGAAGCAGATCTGCTGCCTGTCAGTTCTTAATGACTGGTGATTTTATGGTTTTCTTACTCATTTCTGTAGTCCTCCTTCATTTCTCCAGTTATCAGCATGAATGTATTACACGCACAATGCTGAGACAACTGCAATCCCATTTTTAAAGCAGTCTGCTTCTGTGGTTTTCAGATGTAAAAAAGGGTAGGAAGATTGCAGAGTTTCTCTCTAATTAAGCAGGTCTGCATTCATCTTCTGTCTAAGCAGAAGGAAGCCTGTTTCTCTCTCAGTCTGCCTAGAACTTTCCCAGTAGAGACTGATTGTATTCACTGTGGTGTCACATGCAAACCTCTCAGGAGAACTTTTTGGCTTAAAAGAAAGCACTAGCCACAGTACATCAGGAGCCATCTCTACATTTTGCTGCTGGTATAATTGCTTGTTGTTCTAGGGTTATATTCCATTAGCAACTAGTAATCTGCTGTACACGCTTTGAGGCAGGTTTCATTATCACTACTTCACAAATGGAAAACTATGAAGACTTGGCACAGGCAAATATTTGAAAACACTGGTGTCTGACATTAAAGGCTTTGGGATTTGACATCAGGGACCCAATATAGCTTTTGTTTGCCTCATCTTTCTGCTGTCATATCTCAGAATGTCTTCTATTCACAAATTGTGACATGCATTGTCTGATAAGCCATCACCAAAATGTCAGTTACAGAATGGCCACTAGTTTCCTTTTGCACGTGCTCCTGAAGAAGTTAAGACTGAAGTCCCAGAAGAGTTGGAAGGGGGGCAATTGAGGAAGAGAGGTTGGAGTATCTATAGCAAAAACCTCCAGAAAAATCCATGGAAACTTAGTGCATCTAATTTGCATGAGCCTAAACCTGGAGCTTAGAGCACTGGAATCTGGGAAAGCCTCTGAAAAGGAAAAAAGAAAGTGGCTCGAGACACAAAAATATATTGAGAGCTAAAAATTCAACTGGGGAATATTCAGCACTGGGAATTGATAAGAGACCTTGTGCTGCTTCTTTCTATCACTTCTTTGGGCAAAGATACAAGCACTGATGTGAGGCTCTTGGAAATCTGTGACTCTCTTCCCTATGTCCACAGCACCAGGTGATTCTTCCCCTCAGCACCATCACAGGATGGAATCTCTGAAGGAAAACCAGACCTCACCTGAGCTAGAGAGCAGCACATCACGCTGAGAGCACAGCAGGTGGAGTCCACAGGTATCCAGCCCAGAGCTGAGCACCAGCTGCAACACGTGATGGGCAGCTAGGGATCTTTGGGAGAGAGCTTCAAACGGCAACACCATGGCAACCTGGAAGCAAGAGCACAGCGGTGGAATGAGCCAAAATGTTTCCAAGTCCACAGTGACCTCACAGCTGCGCTCCTTCCGCTCACCTTTAATTCTCGTGCCTTGCCTGCACTATCAGAGCTATGAAGAGGCTTTTCTTCTGTGCTTACGTGCAGTTCAGCACAGTAGGTTTTTACCTTCAGATTGAATAAGTATGGTAGCTGTGATTGAATAATGATTATGTATTACTACTGATACAGCTGTGCCTTTTGTCACTTAAACCTACTAGTTAAAAACTGTGTGTTCTCTGGGACAAAGAATAAAGTGCATCACTCCTGCTGTTTAACTTTGCATACTACAGAAAGATGGCTAAATTATAATAGACCAACTAGTTGTTTCTTTATACCTACAAAAAAACCAAAATTAACATAAAAAATAAATCAGACAGACACTGCCCCAGATTTACATTTTGAACTTTTCTTTGCCAGATGAATCCAATTCAGCTCATCTTTGCAAATAGAAAGACATACAGTTGTATGTACTGAATGTCTGCAATCTAAAGGAAAACAAACAACTTTGAGCTCTGGATTTCCCTACGAAAAGAAACATACTGCTTCAAAAGGCACGTGCTTTGCACCAGAAAGTTTTGTGGTGCTTCATACGCTGCAGGTAATGAATTGTCTAGGTGCAGATCAGACAAGCATGATTGCATTGGCCTCATATTTGTGCATGGTTCTCCTGGCTGTAAAGACACACAGTGCTATTGCCAGCAGCAAGCTTTATGTCTGCGCTGAACGCAAAATGAATTAATCACTCCTGGTTGCTTTAAATGAAATGCTACTCTCCCCATAAACACATAACAGGGTTTATAATATCATGGTAAATGAAGTTATAAATTTACTTAAATCATAAGAAAGTGTACCAATTAGGAATAAAAGCTCTTTTTCTCTATGTTCATCTAGCTCAAGCTCTCCTGATACTAACCAAATGCTCTCAGCAGCCAGTAAGGAAGCATGTTTTTGTAGCAGCTCTGATAGTCCCCAGGGTTTAGCTGCCTGGGCTCCAGGCCAGTCTTGATATTGCAGCTGTCTAACACTGAAAAGCCTCAGCAAATGCCTGGTTCCCTGAGCTGGGGAGCCAGGCACTCGGCTTTGGCCTCTGAGCATTGTTGCAGGCTTTCCTCTGCCCATCCTCATATATCACTGATTCTGGCTGCTATCCTAACCTGCTGACTTGACTTTCCTACTTGGCCTTGTCCCTACGGGCTCATGGCTGACCCTGGTTACTGCTGCTGGACCTGCTCTGCCTTTCTTGGGAAACATCTGACTGCACCCTGCCTTGCCATTAGTCTCCTGCCATGCCATTTCCTCACGGAGCATCCAGCCCTTGCTGTGCCATGTTCTGTATGGACCCACTTCTGAGAAACACTGAGGAACCGTAACAAGACACAAGGTATTTCCTGACTGTGCCAAGCACCCAGCATCTTTAACAAGTAACTGTGGTCTTCAGGTATCTTCCAGGAGCAAGCCTAGTGTATGCTAACTGCTCTCAGTCATCAGTCAAACTTGTTGTTCAGGAAGAACGTAAGATATCTCCATCTCTCTGAATCAATCCTAACTGAAACCGAACTCTGTCAGATCAAACATGCCACGTGGTGCTGCACAAGAGCTAAAAAAGGTGAGTTACCACAGTTACCAACAAACATGGGTACAAGTCCTGCACGTTTTGGTACGCATTCCTACACAGAGGGAAAGATGAGCTAATTCAAGTTACCTTCTTCTGGGTTGAAGTATAGAGACTTTTTTTTCCCCAACACAGACAGTTACTGTAGCTAAGGTAGAGAGTACATGGAGCAAAGTTAGGTGCAAGTTGTGTTGCACACTGACTCACAGTCATGTATCTTCAGCTTATCAGAATTTCTCTCTTGTTCCTTTCTGCAGCAATTTCTTCAACCTGCATATTTCATAGCCAGATCTTTTGTGGCTCAGAGCAATCACTGCATCAATACTGATGACACAAAAGACTCAGTTGATGCATTCAAGTTTGAGTGAAAAATACCTTGAGTATTTGTACCCAACCTAAAGACTGAAACATTGCAGGTCACTTAAACGTGATCAGTTTATTCATTTATTTTACCTTGGTGTCACTGCCATTAGGGAAGCATTTTTCATCACTTTCAACAGTTTGCCAGTAAAATCCACTTGGCACTGCAAACATCTTCTCCACTGCCTGGAACACGTGAAAGGTAGCTCTTACCTGTATGTCATTGTGATCCCTCAAATCAAGAGCCAGGAAAAAATCAGTATGGCTAGTTTTATGGCTGGAGAATATATAAGAATGTACATTAATGGATGAGAGTTATTAGCCAAGTCCTGTTACCCTATAATTTGCTTTCTTGCATCAGTATCACCAGCTATAATTATATCTCAAGAACATGAATTTGCAGCTGCTTCTTAAGAGGCTGAGCCTTCCTAGGGTCCAAAACTGTGGCCCTGCAGTGTGGGCATTGCCCACTAACGTGAACAGGAGCTGCATGTAAAAAGCACTGCAGGATCAGGCTCAGCAGCTTGAGGCCTTGATTCTCCATGATCACGCTGGGAATCCGGCAGAGAAGAGCTTTGTAAAGCAAATGCTCTAATACACAAACCAAACTGAAGGATGAAGAAAGAACTGCATTATTTTCTATATGGCTGTAACCAAAACAGAACACGTTTTCCTGTGTTCATGTCAGCCCTAATAGCACATATGTGTGAGTCTTATCGTGTCATTTAGTCCTGAATAGGCAAAAGGCTCTGGCATTTAGGTCAAAGCACTAAAGAAATGTGGCATTTCCCAATCTCAGCACCTTATTTTGTTTCTCATCCATTTTCTGGGCAGCCAAGCAAGCAACCTGTACAAGTGCAAATTTAAGGATGTTGAAGGATATGTCACTCACGAGAATTTGCTGTGACTGTAATGCCTCATAAGCAAGGCCATAGCCCAGAAAGGAGCACAGCTTCTGGAAGACAAGTTTGTCAAGTTCTGGTCTGGGAAAAAGTGATATTCATAGCTATGCTTCTCTTGAGGCATTCCAGAAATACAGATGCATTTACACAGAGCACCGTGTCTCTGCACAATTCATCCCAAAACTGAGAAAAATGCCCCTTTGGAGGCATGAGGCTTGGGCGGTGCAAATCAAAAAGCAGTGGAACTATTCCAAGTCTCTGCTTTGATTTTCAACAGCCACAAACCTGTCTCCTCGTGTAATTTCGTTCACGTGCTGCAAAACCTTTTAGAAAGAAAAAAAATTCTATTTCAACATGGTTTCAATAAGACTATGAACAGAAAATGGACCAACTGCATGAGGTGTCCATTCTGGAGGATGAGCTACTTACGATGCTGTAATGTACTTTGGGTTTTTTGAGGTTTTTTTTCCTTGTATTGCTTGGCAAAGAAATTAAGTGCTTCATCCTACAAATGTTTAAAAACAACTGGGGAATGAAATGAATTTGGATGATATTAAAATCCCTCGGTCACCTGCCTTTCTGCTTCAGCAGACTTTTGAGTTTCCTCCTTCCTTTACTTGCTGTGCTTCATAAGATATTTGCCTAAAAGTAGAACTGGGAATTTCATTTTTCACCTGATTTCAGTCACCACAACTACACAAAAATGAACATTTTGACGTCTCTCAATGATTTGCTCATTTCATCCTGCAATTCATTGTCCATCAGCCTCGATTTTACCCTTGGTCACTGTGGAAAATAACAGAAGAAAACCGCTGGTTTCAGGATATGGAAGATCCTCCCTTGTTCCAATACTCGATGCCAGCTCCTGTGTGCAATGCCAGCATTGTGCAGCCAGCACAGAAGGAAGAAACAAGCCTTTCAAACCACATACGTAGCAAGACTCCAGTCTTTACTTATTCAAGCTGTTCCTTGAGCACGCTTTAAGACCATAAACTTCCAAGAAAGAAAAGATAAGGGCTATATGTGGTCAAAGCAACTCCAGCCAATATTTCCATGGAGATCTTCATAATAACCACCCAGACAGAGAGGATACAAGCTGAGAACCCTAAGGTAAAGCTGACCTTTAGAGAGTTTCAAAGTGCAAGCTGTGGATCAGCTGCAATGCTAGGCAAGCATGCTGTTGAATGGCTGGCCTCCCACCCCATCAGAGCAGGGACGTGGCCACACACATTAGGGAACCAATCCCACAGGAGATTGTTCCTATGATCTGTCAGACTCTGTTTTCTAGCAGCCAACCTGAATGAGATTTCACAAAGCAGTAGAAAATGAAGCTTGAAAAGTCTTAGATCTCCCAGAAAATCCTTTTTTTGCCCCGTGGGTAGGGAAACATGCATAGATGACTGCAGTGTGAAAGCCCCTGTTTCGTCTAGTCTCACAAAAATGTAATGTAAGTGGAGGGTAATTCCTGAGATCACCTTCCTATGCAATGCAAGGAAGAAAACAGCTTTCCCATGCATGTAGCAGAGAATTGCATCGAGTCAGAGCTCGTCTCAATATTCTAAGAGCTATTTGATGCATAATGCACAAGTGATCCTTCCTCAATGACCTTACTCCTCCCAAAATAATTTTGGTGATTTTGATGCTATTTAGCTCTAAGCCACTTTCATCTTTGGTGCTACTTTCAATACTGCACGAATTGAGACAGGGCAGGCAGGAGAATTGCATCAGTTTCACCTCAGGGCCAGTTTCTCTCTTTTATGCCTCCAACAATATTACAGGAGCTGTAGAGCTTCAGTGCAAACACAGCAGTTCAGAAAGTCTCCCCCAGTCTAGCTGATGTGTCATCTGAGTGCTGAGCTGTCTCTCTTCCCGTGCACAGTGCAGAACAGTAAAGAAGCAGTCCAGCTTCAACACCAACCCAGAAAGGCCTCTTCTGTAAGACTCTGCAAAATGTTCAAATAGTGTTAGGTCTCACAGTATACACCAGGGAGAAAAGTTACCCTACACTCAGCCAGTAATAGCTACAGGAGCCACTGGGATACTTTGACCTAGGTTTTGACATGCTTCAAAGGCCCAAAT